ACTCTGAACTGACATGGCGACTGTTATGTTGATAGACAGTCGACCGAGATATCGGTCAATACAGTTATTGACACCCCCCAAAAGATATATGATCCCAGTTTTGTAATTAGGTTTTCGAAAACTAACTTAGGGTTAAGAAAGATTGGAACCTCTACTGTAGTAATAGAAATCTCACTCAATTTACAGGTTTAACTAACCTCTACAGACATTGAAACACAGCAGTTTAACACAGGCAATGGTAATGAGTACGACTATCCAAGCTAGACAGCCGGTTATTGTAAAAGTTAAAAATTCCTATAAAGAGAAGAACAATACACATAAGTACTGAATATAATTATGAAAATGTTAGAACTGCAGGATTGTTTAAATGTAAAGAAGTTAATCAAAAAAGGAAAGCCTGGGATTTGACCTCTTCCTGAGCTAACAGGCCAACCACAAACTGGTCAGCCCTTTAATCAGACCAAGAGTGACCAACATCAAGTTTCTCCTAACAATATCATATATAATCAAAAGAAGAGATTGTGAGAATTAATAAAATTATCAACAAAGGGAAAGCTTTGATCTTTTACCAAATTCTTCCAACTTACTCTTTAAGGATATTTATGGAGATCAGTCAGGAGAATTTGAATGTAGATGTATGAAAATCATGAAGTTTTACACCACATTTATGTTTAATTCTTCATCCTGCAGTTCTTTAAATAATATGTACGAATTCAGTATTTCATTTTTACACAGGTTCAATTCTCGTTCCTTTATTCACTGCAGTCACTCTTTAATAAAAGTGGTCATATCTTCCCTTCTCCTAGCCTGTGTCACAGGAGTAATTTAAACCTCAGTTAGTAATGTCTATGAAGCAGCACCAAGATCCTTGTTATCTGCCCCCAACAAAGGAATTACTGAAGGTGCATTTTGAATTTCCTTTCATCCTGATTGGCAAATCAACAATGGCTTTTTTAACAGGCCAATCATCGCATGTACTCAAATCCCAGTACACAGGAGGGGGTCCTGAACAAGGATTTTGGCACTGTTTGCAGACGAACTTAACCAGAGCTGAGTTTCGTCTGTGGTGTAGGCTACCTTTCCCTATCCCCCCTCAAAAAATAATTTATTATGCTTACTAATTACTTTATTACCCTCTAACTTCTTGCATAACAGTCCTTTACCATTTTGTACTTTCAAGTTAAGCGTCAGTCAATTCCAGCCGCACTGGGACTAACAAGGTGGGCAAATGCTGGAATTGACTGACGCATTACTTGGATGAAGTCAATGGCTTAGTTTGGAACAACTCAAAACAAAGTCAATAACTATTATTTGTGTTATCTTAAAAAAAAAATAGAAAAAAGCCATGGATCACAAATTTCAAGATAAAATAAAAAAACGTTTTCACACCACTCTATCACAGTGTATACGAGAAAACTCCTGCTCCATTGCTGTGGCCATAGATGGGTTCCTTGCAAGCCACATCCACCCCCTCTTATCACTACCATCCCCTCCCTCCCTCCCTCAAAAATAACCAGCAACATGAAAAAAATTATAATAAGAAAATAAAATAAAATAAAACTATTTTTTTAGGCAGATTAGCCACTAACAATAAACACTCTTTTCTCCGGTTGTATAAAATGCCAAAATACTTACGTTATAAAGAACAAAAGTAACCGCAATAATGCACAACGCAATGAATGTGAAGGAACCACATGCTGCATTGCTGGAATGCTCTATCACAAACGACGACGATAAATCGCCATCCCCTTTCAAAGAAACCCACAGGGTGTTTCCATGGATGCTTGAGCCCTCAAAGATACGTTTTTGTTTGTTCATTCAGCGCTATAAGTCTTAAAAAACGCAAAATATAACGACCTGGCGACCTTAACTTGCAATTAGCCGCCAGCCATATTTTTCCTTTGAGCATGATCACCCACGATGCTTTGCGCGATGTCCAACAGAAATGGCGGAAAGCGGACAGAATGTTGACAAACAGAGCGAGGGAAGTTCAGTGAGTGATACGATTAATAAACAGGGCTGGCTTTCGAAAAGAAGTCGTCTTTCCAAACACTGGGATAAACGATGGTGCTGTCTCAAGAAAAATGAGTTATCTTATGGTCTTTCAGCTGAGGTGAGGTGATAAAAAATAATGGCTTGCTCTGATTTTCCATCAGCCAGCTCATGTGATGAAGTATGTCAATAAGTTTGTTACATTGTCAAGTACGAATTACAGTTGGTGTTATGAACTGAGTGAATGAGTTTTATGAATGAAGGGACCGGCTAGAGATACAAAAGCTGGCACTTCTAGCTTTTGCCATTAGTTTGTAATCCAAATAATCCAAAGCGATTTTTCCCGGATATATTTGATCACAGGTGATGAGGCTAAGCACGTTTGACCTGTCAGAGCAAGTATCGCTGAAGTGTTCGAAAAAAAAAACTGGCTGAACACCTTAAATGGCTTTAAGGTTTTATGTAAAGAAGTACGTTAAGCTGTGCTTTACATCAACTGGACCTTTACACTCTGTATATCAATTAGTGTAAAGCTTTCTCTAGTTTTTATAGTTTAACGTAATACAATGTAGCCTAGACTTTCATAAAAGTCCTTTGTCCTGTTTAATATGTCGTGGGACAAAGGACTTAACATACTTGATTGGTGCTAGTTTTAGCGACCCAGAACAGGTCGCTGCGCTTCAACCAATCAAAGTACATGGATTCAATTACAAAAGCGATAAATGATGCTCTTGAGACCAAGGGATCTTCTCAGAGGAAAACAATCGAACTGGGAAAAATGTGACTTTTGAGATGGCTCCATAAGCTTTTTCAATGTCAGAGAAACACAGAACTGTTGAGATACAGTCGTACGTCTGCTTTACAGAAACTCATAAAAAGCTTGGTCCACTTGTTTAGAAACTTGTGAGGTCAACTTTTAAAATTTTCAAATAAATTCATAAATATATCATGGTCCAACACGGACAGAAAGATGCTGGTATTTTATGTGCAGTGTTTACTATTCTGCTGCCATAGTTCACAAAGATCGAGGCAGCACAGTTTACTTTTTAATGTATGGGTTCCTTCTGTAGGTAATGAGACACAGATTACGTTCAACGAAAGAAACAAATGAATACAACCAAACAATAAAGCCCCCAGGAGAACTGTACTGTTTTGTTCCTTTGTTTCTTTTGTGATGACAATACCTGTAGAATAACCTAACATATGGTGCTTAGCTTGTAGTTTTTCTACTTCTCCACTTGAACACTTCAGCAATACTTGCCCTAACAAGTCAAACATGTTGAATTCCATCACCTGAGATCAAGTAAATGCTTGGGGGAGGACTTGAGCAATAAACTTGCCCAACGGTAGGGAGCAAGGAGAGACAGCCATGTGGGTTAAGGGCTCTGGAATGTCATGGGTTAGATTACCATTTGGGAATGAATAAGTAATTGTTATAATAAGTTATTGTGTATTTTTGTTCTATATCTGACAGTGATAATGTTATATGTATTGATATATTTTTATTGTCATTCCTTTAAATCACAGTTACATGTGTATTAACGAGCATAAGTATTTTCAAATCAGTTTAATCAATGTTTTCTGTTAGTGGTGCTGCAGTCCATGGAATGAAAGATAGGTAAACAAATTCATCCACAAAAATTCAAAAATGGTGAATGTCACTATGAGTGTATAATTTACAACAAAATTGACCAAAAGAGAAGAGAAATGATGAATAATACTATGCGTTCTATGTTTAGTAGTATCTACTGATCACAACAAAAAATATAATATCATCAGGAAAGCTGTGACTCCTAAGATACTGCGATCACGATAGAACTTAGACACAGCTAAAAACAGGTCATTTTAAAGTAAAAATGTGCCTGTCAATGCACTACTTTTCTTTTCATGTTTGGTCTAGGATTGTTTATTATTTTTTTCTTCATAGAACAGCTATACACCACGTACTAAAAACTTTAAGTAAGAAAACCGTTAACTTGTTTTTTGTTTATTCTGTTAACAAAATTTGTTTATTCTGTTAACAGGAGCAATCAAAAGTCGTAATGTTAGAGGGATGTGAATTATCTGACTGCAACATAGACAAAAAACAGTTTGCCTTCAGGATAAAGCCAAGAGGAGCTAAAAGAGTTTACTTCTTCTCAGCTGAGAGTGAACAAGACCAACAGGAATGGATGCAAGCAATATGCTTTGCAAAAGCATCAGGGCACATGGGGGATGGATCTACAGCTTGTTCAGTGCAATAACAAGAGTTTGTGAAATTATAGAACAAGTCTTCAGGATTGGAGGTTTTGAATATATTAAATACAAGGACATGAAGAAGCTTGAAGAAGGATAGGAAATATTATGCTCCTATGCATGCTAGGCATTTTACAGAAATAATCAGCTGGGTGTACTTTTCCAAGCTGCTGATATTATTTATAAGCTATAAGCTATGTACATAGCTTTCTTTTACATGAGACATTTCATCTAGGGAAGAGACTGAGCCTTTTAAAATGGCATGATTATTCGACAAGTTTGTGGACATTTTAGTGCAAGAGAGAAAAAAATTATTGAAAGGCAAGAAACACTACAATATAGGGTCACCTAGCCTGGGTTTGTACCTACTCCTTGAATCCCTTTTATTGGATCCTCCTTCTGAAATTTGATATTGCTTGGCATGAATGCCCATTGTGTGTTACATTCTACATTTTCACATTAGCCAGGAAATTTCCTAGTATTTTACTTTCTCTCCATGGTACAAACCCTGTCTAGCTACTGCTATTACTCATATTTGGAGCAAATGGGCCCTTCTGCATACACAATGTAAAAAAAATTTACCTTTACCAATTTTATTTTTTTAATAGGGAAACAGTTCTGTACTCAATATGTCTACATTATCAGTTTACTACATCAATATTATTATGTTATATCCTGTGCCTACATGAAGTTGTTTGAAACTAAGGTCATGCTAAATCTACAGTGTAGGGTGATTGCCATGACAATATTAATCATAACTATACCAAAATTCTCAAATCTGATTGGCTATCAACTGTCCTGATTTCAGCACTAATAGGACTACAGTGCAATAGGACAGTATGCATCATACCTAAGTAATTGGACAGTATATGCCATCACACACGCGCACTTAATAAATGGCTTTTTTCACTGCTAGCTATAAATTTCTTCTTTTTCAATTAGCAAAAAGCCTAAAATATCACAAATTTTGTTATAGCTATGATTAATTGGTAAGAGAACTTCATGTCATCCAATTCAGTCTGTAATCGTACTCGTGATGAAACAAATCGGACTCCTGTGATTTTGTTAATCACTCGTATGATTACAAACTGAACTGGACTCCACTTAGTCCTTTTACAATATTACTGATCTCAGGCTGGTATTACTTAGCAGGCTCCCTTGACAGTGATTTAAATATTTGAATATAGGACCTCCCCTGGAATGGATGCTGTTATAACATTAAATTTCTCTCTCTTCTACGTGACATCATTTTATTAACATCTTTTGTTTTGAATAATTTATGCATGCAGCGGGCATGTCATTTTTCACACCTCTGTTAATTTTAACTTTAAAGATAAGAGATTCTTGTACACGCATTACATAAATCTGGTCACAAAGTGATCAAAAGAGACATTTTACTGTAAAAATTTTTAATAATAATTATTATTACTATTTTATCTTAAAGTCAGTTGCAATACTTTTCATGTTATTAAAGGCATTGGTATAATTATGTACCCGGAGCTGTCTTTCAGTTGGTATTAAAACAAAAAGTGTTATCATACTTTAGCTTACAGTCAGAGTCTTTACTTAAGGTGGCAGTCCAGCCAGGTAGTTGGATTGCTGAGCTACAATCTGGAGGCCCTGGATTAACGTCTGGCCCTGACCACTGAATTGATTTGTTTCATGGGAGCCCCAAGTTCAAATCTTTGGACCATAACTAGATTGCTTGCTTCTAATGAATAGAAAAACCATCAGGGATACGTAACACTTGCACTTAGATAACTGATGAGGTGATATTCCATAAGAAATATCAAAAAAGTGTAATCTAACCCTACCTAGTAATGTCTGCAAAGCAGCACCAATTTCTTTCTTCTGGGCTCCCAACAGACCCAACAAATTCTCAGAAGAGTGTTTCAAATTTTTCTTCAACCTGGTTGGCACATCAAACAATGGCATTTTTAACCGGCCAACCACTGCATGCACCTAAATCCTGGTACACAGCCGGGGAGCCACTCATTGTCCACGGTGGGCCTATCTGTGGCAAAGGCTGCCTCCAGCCAACTGGGATTCTTAACTCAATTATGTTTCATTTTTAACAATATTTGTGTCAGTCATTTGCCCAGCCCAACTAGCCTCTGTGCTATAAATAAGTTGCAAGGGTTGGAATTGACTGAGCCTTTATTTCAGCAGCCTCCTCGAGTTACACTCTCTTACGGGTTGGTGCCTCAAGGAGATTGGCCGAAATTGGGGCTACAATATTTATTGCACTGGGACAGATAATCAGCGCCATTTGCACTAGTAAACAGGGAAATCCTTATCAATATGTTTGGCCCAAGCTTGAAGGCCACCAGCAATGTCTTTAAATGTAACATTGAGTTTCCCTCCAGCTGATGTATCTAGGGTGCTGTCTCTAACGCATGATGGATCATCATTTAATAGAAGGTTATCGAGATTTTTGCAAAATCCCTTATCTATTAATAACTGGACTGCTTTTTGTGAATCATTGCCTTGCTTGCATAATACATACACTGCAAAAATAATATACAAGAAATATTAATATCATTAGGATAAAATTTGTGCATAACAAAAATAATAATTCAAAATCATACATTAAAGAAATGTTATTTACAATGTAACCTCTTCATTGACTTTAAAGTGACAAAAATAATTTATTTATATAAAAGAAGATCATAGGAAACTTAGACACAACTTTTTCATATAATTATGATTTTAATACATTCATAACTTCGTCATTATCCTTTCACGGGTTTATAATTCATCAATTCATCGAACTGCTCCCCGTTGGCTTTTTAGATTAATTGGTAAGAGCGCTGCACCGGTATTGCAGAGGTCAAGGGTTCGAATCCCGTACAAACCAAATTCAGGCTTTCTTTTCGCAACTGCAAAAGTTGCATCTATAACTGTGATGATGTTCTTTCATGTTATTTATTCTTCACATATATGATTTTCATACATTCATAACTTATTTATTGATCTGTTATCTGATTGTCTTTTGAATATGCAGCCTGTGACACAGATGTAATCTAACCCCTGCAGTTAGATGTGGGGCCATATCCTTGTTCTGAGTGCCCAACAGATGCAACGAATTACCACAAATGCATTTTGAATTTTTCTTCAAGCTGATTGGCAAATCAACAATGGCATTTTTAACAGGCAATTCATGGCACACACTCAAATCCTGTTACACAGGTGGGGGCCCAGAACTAGGATTTCAGCACTGTTTAGAAGACAGACTTAACAAGAAGATGAGTTCCGTCTGTGGCACAGGCTATCGCATTTGCAGATGAATTCATCTCTAATTTCTATTACAGTCAGTTAACCACTCACCATTAACTGCTTTTAACTTATTTTCTTCAGCAAAATAGGAAACTGCCTGTCTAAGTTTTTTCTGCTGCTCAGAAGAATGAAGGATTCTCAGAGGAATATCTTGCAAGCAGCATGTTAGCTGAGGAAAATGATAAAGTCACTCAAAATGGAATTCAATAACAATAACGGTTCTTATACCCATATATACCTATCATTCAAAGCATGCAAATCCATTGTCATCATATTACTGTTATTTGATCACTGCCATCACTGCTGTTATCATCATCACCAACATGATCAACAACGTTAACTTCACCTGTATTACTGTCAACCCATGTCAAGTGTACCCCCCCCCCCCAAGATTCCATTAAGAATCGATAATTTGAAAATGAATCTGTTAGCTGTTGCCGCAACTGGTATACGTAATCAGCAGTGAATTTTTTATGATAACTTCTGTGCATTCTGTCAGATACAAGGGTTCTGGGTGGTGGGTGGGTGTACTTATTTACTAGGGATTGCTTATTCAGTCATGAGTGGTTTTTTATAGTACTATGCACAAACATTTTACTGCAAAGGATACTTAAGGATCCAGGAAGAGAACATATATCCAGTTCAACAGGTTCCCGTACATCTACAAGAATGTGAGGACATTTTTGTTCAACAACTTGTTTATATTCCTAAAAAATAATAATAAAAGCCATGAGATTAGATAAAGCTTACTCCAAATGCATGTGAGGAACTAAGAAATAAGGTCTACTGTAGAAGGTGCCAACTTTCAGGAATGAAAAATTTTGACCCAACAGAAACTTTGATGTTCTGGCCCCAGTTGTTGAAAAGGTGGATTTATTTTTGGATAAGTCTCTACATGTATCCAGTGTCCAGATAATGCATTTTTGGTTTCCCTAATTTACCTATCTACTGGATCTAGTGATTTTATGCAGTGGATAGTGCTATCAGACATTAAAACAAATGGGATCTGGCCTCTTCCCCACTCATCAGCAGAAACCATAGAATTGACCATTGCAATCAGTATATTAAAGACGTTGGGAATGCCACCCACCCCTCCCCTAACCCAAGGCTAACAATAACCTCTCAATGAGGACAAAATGTTGCGTTAGTTGGGTTAGGAGAGGGGTAGGTGGGTGGTTTCCCAGAATCAATACTGATCCAGGACCACATGACTTAGGCCCAGCTGTTAGGGTAAAATTCTGACAAGTGACATGACCTTGAAACAGCAACATAGGACAGCAGAAATGACGACAAATGACATAAAGATGGGTTGAAACAGTGACAGTGACAGACAAAAGTGCCAAAACAATAGAAAAAATACTGACAGAGACATGGCTTCCTCCTTAATCCGCAAAACAACAGGCTTTCAAATTCAGACTAGGGACACAGGTAACCCCCCTAAGAGGGTCTCATGACTGATCCAAATAAATTTCATGATTTTATGATATAAAACAAAGGAAAATTTTATTGCAGCCACTACGAGGTAAGTGTATCCAGTGGACAGTTCACGTCATGGATTCTGCCAACTTTGTTGTTTCCTTAGACAAACGTCCTCTGTTGGTTTTTTCTAAACAGCACACACAGTACTGCCAAGAAACTACATGACTAGGGCATCATACTAGCAACTGCTCTGGCAGCCTTATGCATTAAAGTCAAATGTATACAGTTTTCACCCTTGAGTTTTGCTCCTAAACTTGTTGTTATTTAAAAATCTCTAACCGTTTTTTTGGACAGCCAGTTCTAGTGGGTTAATAATAATATTAAGGTAAAACTTTGATTATAAAAGTTACTTGCCTGAACAGAGATTCTTTGTTGCTTCTGTAGAATTCTTAAAGATGGGGTCTATAAGTAGAGAAAAACACCATTCAAGCAGGTCATATAAAACTTGATTGCTTACAGCAGTCCTTTGTTTGGTTGGTTTTGGATCTGTCAGCCCAGTAAGACTCAGGTGGTCTATAATTGCTAGAGTACTCTGACCACAATGGTGACATGCATCTGTATCCATTCTCAGGGTCAACAGCTGTTTAACCTATCATGGTTAGCCTGTTTAAATGGGTTCTAGCTACCCTAAGGCCTGTAATTCGGTAACCTAGTTAAACAATCACATTTAAACCTTAAAATGGATTTAACCATAACAAATCCTCTGGGCAACAGGTCTGGCACACATGTCCACAATCAAAGAGAAAGTAATAATTTTATTGCACAGAATTTCTGAGTTATGATGCAGCATGGTGCTAAAAGAGATCAGACAACATTGTTTGGAAGATTAGAGACCAATGGACAAAATTCTATTCTAAACTAGAGAAGCAGAAACTATTCAAAGTGATTGCGGTGTCACTTATGAGAAGTGGTCATGTTTCATTGAGGCCCACATTAAAAGTGCCTTGATTGGGAAAAGTACATACATGAGTATTAAAAGGTAAGGTGAAGATGATGCACACAAGCCAACCCCATGAGGCCCTCATGGCAGTAGCTATTGAGGCACTTGGGTATGGCTACTCCCCCTGGAATCGAGGGTATTATGGAATTCTACCAATTGATCCATGTTGGCCATAAAATCACGGGTCCCATGACTATTTGCACGCTCACAAAGGACGCAATCACATGTTGCATCCTTTGCCTCTAGCTGTAGTGTTAACATACTGTTTCCATGATACAAAGATAATTATTTTAACTGAAGCAGATCGATAGTTCAAAGCTTTCATGTTGCTATCCTTTGTATTTAAGGAAATGCAATCGCTCCACACCAGTTTCCACCTACAAATAATAGGAGACATTTGATTGACAGAAAAATTTGCATTTACTATCGACACAAATCAGTAGGCATGATTCCATAATGGGGTGCTATTCTATTGCAGGGCAACATATTGTTGGAGAAGCTGGGGGGGGGGGATAACCTTGCAAAAATTACTTAAATTAAATGGTCACTTGTTAAAGGTGGTTGTACATTAATTATTAAAAGTTTTTTTTTCTAATAACCTTATCAGTAGCAGAGGCTCCACAGAAGAGTTCATAATCCTGAAGTGTATTTATTGTAGGATTGTCTCCACAAACAGAGCAGCATGACTGTCTTGGTCGTAGTTTGATGGTAAGAAACCTGCCATCAAGTGCATCATAAATTAACATCTTTTGTGAGTAGGAGGCTGACAGTGAAATTAAGGAGGAATATATATATTTGGGAAAACAAAACTAACTGTTTCCCTCGGGATCTGAGTGTAAGTGCATAATGTTATATATATACAATAAGGATACGTTTTATTCCAACAGCAATTTTTATAGCCTCTAGAGCTTGTAGTGTACCAATAACACCAGGCACTAAAAAATATTATAAAAAAATAATAATCATCACATCATCGAATCAGATCAAAAACATTTTTTTTGTACTGTGATGAATAGCTTTTGCTAGACCCTTTATCACCTTCTTAATTTGTGTTGTTGTCCTACCTGGTCCCAGGACTCCTGAATCTGAGCAGTTTCCAACAGATTCTGGTGGAGGTGGACTGGGGAATAGACAGCGGTAGCATGGACCCCCCATATGGTTGTAGACAGTCAACTTTCAAAGAAAACAGAAACATTTATTTTGAAGTATTATTGGCCTGCCTTTATCTAAATTTTGTATTCTTTGATAACATTAAAATGCCTTTATATATATGACGTACAGTCGAACCAGTGTACAACGTCACCCTTGGGAAATGGCAAGGTGACCATTATATACAGGGTGACCGCTAAATATGGGTCAACTTTGCAGAAAATATAAAACAACTGAAAAATTAGGGAAGTTGTCCTGTGACCATAATAATTATACAGGGTGACCACTTTATACGGGGCCATATATACAGGTTTGACTGTACAAAATTATGATGGACAATTGAAGTAGTTGTACAGGAGGTTCCAATACTTTAAGGTAAAATATTCAGATCACAGGAGACAGAATACAACCTTACCTGCCCCTCAAATCTCAAGGCACTGCCAGATATCAAGGGCTTCTTTGCCAAAACACAGGCATCATTCAACAAATATCTGGTACAGGTAGAGATCAAGAATTACAGGAGATATTAACTCAGTCAGACTACCATTATGATGTACATGTTACCGGTCAAAATTAAATTCAGGTTAAAATAATATTGTTCAACCAAGGTTGATTCTCTATTTCCTATGTCTCCGAGCCATAATTATTCATGAATTAGGGCTAGGAGACAAAGGAAATTGAAAATCAATCTAGGTTAAAAAATTTCTAACCTAGATTTAATTTTGACCTGTAACATATGGTTTCTAACACCCTTTCCATCTCCAGTATTGTTTAAGTTATACCCCATAACTTTTGGATCAAGCAGGTCACATGAATTTAAGTGTGAGCTGCAAAGGGTCTATATGTTCATAACTAGGGGTGGGGAAGATGACGGGAACTGTTTGTTTTTACAGAAATCATCTGAACACATTTTATCATGTCCTGATAAAAATACAATAAGAATTCTAGTAGCAGGATGAAGGTGTTGTACACAAGAATATTCTGAAAGAGTCCCCATGTCTGAATAAAAATTGTCATAGGCTACCGAATGTTAGCCAGAGAATTCTGCATAGTAAACAGAATTCTCCAATCTCCGATGCCTAATGAATACTCTGATTGTCTATATGACAAGTTGGTTAAAAAAGGCAAGTTCATCAAATATGAAATGTTGCTTGCTAATCGCAAAACAACCTGTATCATGTTAGTGATAATGAAAATGCCTTGAAAAAAAGTCCCAATCAGTAGCCTGGGACAAGCAGATTTTCTTGCTGGGCAAGTAAGATTTAATGGGCAAGGGTCTGGGCAAGTCATCCAATGCCAAAATCACTAGCTGTGACAAGCAAGAAATGGTCTCAGACAAGCAAAATGTGAGAGCTGCTTACCCAACGGACAAGCTAGATTTCAAGATTTTTTCCAGCCCTGGATAAAGACTAAATGCATACATCACGCTGATTAGAAGTAAATCCAACTTTACCTGGTAGCCACATTGTCTGTTGCATCTAACACAATATCATATGTTTGTTAATTAAGGAATAAAATACTCGGAATGAACCGAATGAACTGTAGGCACTCTTAAAATTAAAAGACAATAATAAAAAAGTGGTGTAAACATAAAAGGATATTTTTCAATTATTTCTAGAGCATTACTGCTTGTAAGCTGCAAATTGTATGGTATGCACTTGACAGTTGAGTTCAACCTGATAATAAATGAAAAGTAAAGTAAAAATTAATAAGACCAGAAAAGGTAGTGCTTGCATGTAGATACTGAGCAAAGAGAAATATTAGTTGTAACGTTCTGGAAGTTGCTTTGTGTGTCCATTCAATTCTGAATGTAATGGTACTAGTAGAGATCCAAAGTATAAACACCTACCTAATAAATTGAAGAGATGAATAAAAGGGTTGGTTTCTGTAAAGAAATCATGATGCACTGTGTTGATGGGGTAGTGCAACTCAAACTGTTTGTATTGAGTTTCTGGTGAAAATGGCCAATTGATTAGAGAGCTGGACTCGGCAGGCCCCCAAGTTCAAGTCCTGGCCTAACAGCTAGCTGAATTTGGTCACAGTAGTCCCAAATTTGATTTTCCCCAAATAGCTCCATAACAGGAGAAGATAATTAAGCATTTATGAATTTAACTACACTATAGATACCTTTTCACTGCAGGTAACCTTAATAATAACAACGACAGCTTTATTTCACTACGAGGTTGTTATTGGTACTTGTCATTATGGATATCAAATATTAATTTTAAAGACAACATCTTACTGATTTAACTGGATTTTAATAGATTCGGCTTTGGAGATGTTCACCCTGCCTTCTGTGTGAAGAACTTGTCGATGAAGATTGCTTATTTCCACTGCATCATAGTCAACAATTCCTATGCAACCTGCAACAGTACACCAACTGAAAATTCAATTCCAAAACACCTTTAAAGAAAAATCATTTGGCTCTCCTAAACTCAACTGAATTTAAGCAAAGGCCGACAATCCAGACTCTTTGATATAAGAGTAATTGTCATGCAACCTATTTACTCTGAATTACTCTGAATGTATTGAGATCCGGAAGAAGTCATGATGTGACGTACAGACCATTGCAAATTTACGATTCACTGCCTGGTTCTTTTAAGTTTTGAATGACATCCTTTAATATCACAACTCAAAATTAATGATACCTTTCTGTCTTCACTCAAATTAAACTATTTTCTCTTCAATATTTTTCCACAATTTTTGAAAGTAAATTTGAAATTTTTGTTGAATTGAGATGTTGGCACCATTGAGAATAACAGGGTTCAAAATAAGTGAACTGGCTTCTTAACCACTATATCAAGAACAATATTTAATAATTATTTTAAAGTAATATGCAATCCAACACAAGTCAGTGCTATAGTTCTCTTTTTAAGATCAGCCCTATACTGTAATTCCACCATTAACCCCCTTCTCTTTTACATTTGTTGAGCACTACACATGTACAGGTAGTGTGTCACTGTCTCAAAACTAAAATTAAAAAAGTCCCCCCTGTACCTCCTCTAACAAGCCTTCTTTATAATTGTGTGTTTAACAAACGAGAGCTGCATGGAGGAAAAACTACTACTATGAAAGGGTCCCAATGAAGTAACCGTCAGTCATCAAATGGCCTAAAAATTAACCATCAACCATCAAAAAAGGTTGTTTTCTACCATCAACGTCAAAAAAGCAGCTTACGATTAACCGTCAAAAAGCTTCAAAGTGTTTCAAATCTCACTATTTCAGTTGACCTTCATGGCATTCCAGTTCCTAAAGAATTTCTAAACTGGAAACCTTAACCTTCAGCTGTCAATTTTGGAAAAAAAAAATAACCGTGAATCGTCAAAGCTACCACCCCATTGAGACCCTTCTATGAGAAACTGTTTGAGGATAAAAAAAAGTTGTATCATTATTCATTCGCCACTTCATAGACAAGAGGGAGACTAGCCACAGTTAACTATCGCGCAGACTTCTAGGATTGTTATCACATGTAGGAGGCTGGAGTGGTGTGCCCCCAATAATGATCCCAGAAACAATGAATATCGCAGAATGAATGGATCAAGTTAGGTTTGTGGGAAACTGCCCACCTACCCCTCCCCTAAGCTAACATTAACTCTTACTTCTCACTAAGGGCAAAATGATGACTTAGGGGAGGGGTAGGTGGGCAGTTTCCCAAACACCTAAATTGATCTGAACACACTACACTGCCAGTTCCCTTATTTCTTAAGTGGCAAAACGCATACCTACTCCAGCGGCTGCTAAATACTGTGCCACAGGACACCCAAGACCACCGGCTCCTACAATGAGTACTGATGTATTGTACAAGTGTATCTGTCCTGGGGAAAAAAAAATTCATCACATGAGACTAGGGGTATGAGGTATATCACAGCTAGAAAGAATGAAATTTCTGAGCTAATCATAAGAGGCCAGCAATGCTTCAAAATTTAAAATAATGATGGCATGTCATTTGCTGTCATGGTGACTTTCAATATAATTTTGTGTTTTTCAACTCTTTCACGCCAAACAATATCAATATGAAAATTTCAGGAAAATCCTTAAGGTCATTTTATATACACTGTAGTAAAAAAAAAAAAGAATAGACCGTAAGATTTTGTGCCAAATTCAGGATGCTCCTAGGTACTTTGGGAGAGCTGGCATATAATGGAAATGCTCAAGTCAAGGTTTTCATCCACAGAGTTGTAACAACATTTTGTCCGTCAATATTAAATTGACTTTGGAAATGAAAGGGTTGACAACAACACCATAAACATGAAAATGAAATTAACTTCTGTTTCTCTTTAATAACTCCATACCTTTAACACCAATCTCTGGTAATATCAGTTGCCTGCTATACCGCAAAATATCCCTGTTATTTAATTTGTCTTTCTTCCGGGGTTCTATAAAACTGGAGCTGTTAGATGCTGGAGGACACCCATTTAGGGCATGGCTAGCATACTCTTTTTCCTATAAAAACACAGACCATGAAGTATTTCAAGCCTTCTAAAGAAAGGATGACATAATTACATTATTTTTTAAGAGACACATAATAAAGTAACTCTGCACTCTGCACTTTGACCCTATTACAGTACTTGAGAAGGTCCTGGGTTAACATTTGCAAACTGTTGAATACAAACAAAAATCGCGTCCCTTTTTGAAACCCACGTTGCATTCGATCAAGGAGATCAAACCAATGAACAAACATAATGAAGCTTTATAGTTGCACAAAAGGGGCGGGCACAGGGCCTTGCAATAAAATGGCTTAATGCCTCTACAAACTGTTGCATTCTATTCATCAATTAACATTCCTTACCTTGAGGGCTAACAGGTTTTTTAATGATTCAAGCTCCAAAGATTTTTCTTCAATCTCCCGCCGAAGTCCTTCCAGCTCGTCCGCCATTTTAAATATATGCATGAAATGTCACAGGACACCCAAGCAGGAATTCTGTGTGTATGTTGTACAGCGGAAACCGTTATATGGTAAAATCGCGAGAAACCGATATAAGCTTATTCTTAATTAACTTTTATTAGTTTCAAAAGCTTTGAAATATCAAACGAACCATACAAAAACGGTACTCGCGAAAGGCGATAAAGCGCCCCGATCGTAGACTACGAGTAGTCCCCCATTTTTCCTCAGGGATAGTAGGGCGAGCGAAACGCGAGCGCGCGTGAAAATCACCCCTCTCTCCCCGCCGCGTGTCGCCTTTTCTCGCGTGGGGTGATTTTCACGCGCGCTCGCGTTTCGCTCGCCCTACTATCCCTGAGGGGCCTCCCTGAGGAAAAATGGGGGACTACTCGTAGTCTACCCCGATCGAGGAACACTTTATTGCGATTATATGACATGATGTAAGCAGCAATTTTTGTGATAGAGTTACATGAATGGGTAATCGGTCATTTTGCATGGAAGCACATTCAGGAGGTTCAGGATGTTTTCCAGGCCTGGAACAGAAGATACAGAAAGCGATCTGCTTCGTTTTCAAGAGGAGTTCCTTGCAGGTCGTTTGAACCCATCAGCCACTGTCGTTCGTTCGAATAATGAAGGAGAGAATCGCCCTGCATCGGCAGGAGGAAAGCGCGTCTCTCCGTCTGCACCCGAAGTAGAAAGGGACGTTGTTACTTTGGAAGGTAACAGATGTCTTATTGCATATGCATGTCATTTTTAATGAGTGAGGAGAAAAGTTATAGAAAACAACCCACCAAATTGCATAGGTCATTATTCCCAAGCCCGCGCAGAAAACTGCAATTCAACTTGTAACTTTTTAACTTGCTAACACACGTTAGCTTAAAATGTGATTTATAATCTTTTTAAAGGGCTTCCAACATTGCAGCCTCCTAACCAAGCAGATCCTGGTTTACCACCTAAAAAGAAATCAAGATTCAAGTCAAGACGTCAGGTTTGTGTTTGTATTCTAACTGATATTCCAAGGTTCCCTAACAGAGATGCCAACCTCTGGGGATCTAAAATCTGGAAATCCTCTCTTTTTGCATTAAGCCCCCCTCCCTCTGCCAAATATCAACAGACCCCCCTCCCTCCCACCCTTCCCCCTTCACTGATAAGCACAAATTTACACAGTCTCCAAAATAATTGTAACATGGAAAATGTGTTGGACATTAGAATTATGAAGTGTTTTATGAAGCACATACCATCAAAGTTTGCTTAATCATAACAAAATTACTGTCAAACTCCGAAAACTGTGAATGGCTGAAAATTTTCAGGAATGTTGATTGTGTAGTGACCAATCACAATGAAGTTCAGGACATGCGAGCAAACCACAAAACCACAAACTAGCTACTGTTGCTGTTTGCAGTTTAGGTTTCTCACTCCTTATAGATGGCTTTCTCCTCACAACACAGTAACATTAGTAACATTCCTTGAATATTTCTGGTGTGAATATTCACGGTTTTGTGAGTTTCACAGTAATAATCTTTGTCAGTGATGAAACTCATGAATGCAAGAATGTCCAGAAACCGTACTATGAAATCAAAAACATTTTTAGATTTTGAGGAAACGGAGTAAATTCCAAGCTAAAGCCCAGAAAAGCTCTAAAAGTTGACTTTATTTTGCAAGATTTATTGACCCTTGTGGGAGAGCAGGGAATTGGTGCCACATCTGGGAGAGTTATCATATATGACTGACTGAGCACTGCACACTTAGGTGGGGGAATGGGAAAAGAAGGGGCAGTCAGTGCAAATTTCACTTACTCATCCTCATTACCGTGACCAAGACATAAGCTCCTCAGTGTCCTGTGTGCTGTGTGCTGTGTGCTTTGTGCTGTGTGCTGTGTGCTGTGTGCTGTTACCTTGTTATGGTGGGGGAGCTTGTATGCCTTAACGATGCTGTGAGCTATCAGGGCTGGGACTTAAGCTCCTGGCAGGTCCAATCAAGCAGGGCAGGTTACAGAGAAAAGTACAGACTAAAAGTCAGCACCTGGTCCTCCAGGTTGGGGTTGGGCGTGGGGCAAACAACCCCACCCCGGAAAAAAACAACTTGTTACCAAAACAGTGCAAATTTACCAGATAAATAATATGACATTGAATAACAGTACATTAACAGTGTCTTTGCTGTGCTGTTCTAGATCTTCATCCATTTTTTTTTATTTTACTTTATGAGATTAAGTACATAAAGGTTATTTTTATAGTCTCCTTTTTCCCATTAAACGGTCAAGGGGGAAGTTGCCTATTTCCAGTTTGTAGTCTAAGTTGACCTTTGCCTGTCAGTGGTAGATACCATTATCTAGCCTTGTATGTATTCCCCATACCAGAGAATGGCATTTCACTGCCCCAAGGTGGTGATATATACAGTGTTCATGCATCAATACAAACTGTAGATATTTCCCCGTGCCCCTTTTCTCAAGCAGTTACTTTTTATATAGGTTGTGGTTAATTTAGACCGTTCATTCGAACTTGTCCCAACCCTATCAGTGACACAAATTAAAATAGTGAGGTGCAGTAAAGCAGGTGATATATTATGTGTTCAATCAGCTTTCTTTTCTTTCTCAAGAATAAAGAGCAAGATGATAAAGAGGATGTAGACTGTGCAGAACTACTAGACAGTAGGTATTAAGTAATTTAATTATTCCAATGGCAGGTTAATTTTAATTCAGTTAGTATAGGTCATAGCATGATTTGTAGAGATATTTCAAAGTTGTTATACGTAATTTCACGGGCCGTTAGGCATGTGAAATTTGAGACAATTTTGAAACATCACTAGTGGTATTGATGCCAAATATCACGTACAAATCATGCTATTATTCGTTTATACTACTACCTGCAAAAGGTTTGTAATTTTCACATGTAGGTATTTCAAATTAAGCTGAAATACCACTGCTCTAAGCCAATCAAATTGCAGAAATTTCTCATGTAGTAGTATAAATGTCTGAATAATACAAACTTTGAGTACAGGACACCATATAAAACATGTGTAAACCCTGCTGAGTTCTGTTCAAGATAAGGGCATTTTGATGCCTCTATATTAGCTTTTGTTGTTGCCTCCCGCACCCAAAAAGTATCTTAGGGCTGCAAGAACGAAAATAATGTTGTGATCAAATTAATATCACTTAATGAGAGATCATCACCCATTTGATTTCCCCTTACACTAGAGGCTTTTCACAAAGAGGTAAATATAATACTAGAAAAATGTACAAGATCATTAAATATAATAGTATTATTATAAACTATGTAAACATTACTTAAAAGTATTTTATTTTTGTTTTTGGCAGTTCATGACAGACATGTTACTTCAGTGCTCTCTCAAATTAAGGTACATACATTGTACATGTAGTGGATCAATTATTTTTTGTTCAAATTTTATCTCCTTTGCTTTTGGTATTTTAATGTATTATTGACTTTTAAACAAAGAAAAGTAAGATTAGATCCAGGAAAAAAATTGAACCACAACATGCATAAGTTCTATTTCTGCTTTTATAAATATTAGAGAGGTACATTCTGTTGTCTCCAGGGGGTAATGTTTATATGTTACAGGTCAAAATTAAATTCCAGTTAAAATTGTTTAACTTAGGTTAATTCTCAATTTCCTTTGCCTCTTTGCCCTAATTATTCATAAAATTTAAGATTAATCAGGGCTAGGAGAGAAAAGAAAATTGAGAATCAATCTAGGTTAAAAATTTTTAGCCTGAATTTAATTTTGACCTGTAACATATACAGGTATGATGTCATATTAAACCACTAAAAACCTATTGGCATACATGTATAAATGGTACCCTATTATTATTGATCGTAGTTTGTATTGAAAAAGTCAAGATATTGCATTAATGAAGATTGTTTTTCTTCATTTTAAGGAGAGGGAAATTCAGTATGGAAGTATCCGAGCTCCTGAGGTATCTGAAAGGGGATTCCCTGTAGCTCTTCATCGTGGAAATATGACTGATCAGGTGATTATTAAATTTTTGACCATGAATCTACATGTACTTCATACAAATTGGTTTTTAAAATTCAGTCGAATTTCTTAATTATGGAGCAAAGCTGAATTTTTTTGTATTTTAAATTCATTAAATCTTAAAGCTGCCTAACCACACATACTGATTTAAATAATTGGCTCACTGAAGCTTGTTATTTTCTGATATATTTCATTTCCTTCTCTAGTCTGTTCTGTGGTGTATTAACCCTTTAAACTCCAAGATCCGCAAACAAATTCTCCAGCTTTATCTCCATACATTTCTTTTAAGAATAGTTGAGAGAATTTGGTTTAAGATCAAAGTATTCTTCCTTTGATAATCAATCTAGTAATTCTCATAACTTTTACTCTTGATGATTTGCTGATGTTGTTAGGAGAAAATTGATGCTGGTCACTCTTGGAACCTTAAGGATTAACTGAGTTCATGTACATATACCTATATTCCAACAGAAGTCATCATCAACCAAAGGCAATAACTCTGAAGGCAAAAGGAGCTTATTTGCACGACAGTTTGCAGCTTCAGGAGGCATTACCTTTGGTGTCAAAGAACATAAGAGGGATAATTCACAGCTTAAAACGAAAACAAAGGAGACTCTTAAAGTTAATTCACCTCGAGCTCCACAATTTGTCAATTCTTCAATTGTCTCTGGAGAGGGTCTTATGCAATCTGGTAGCAAAGAAATGCTTTTAAATAAGGAAGTTGAAGAAATACATAAGGAGAACACTGCCAAACTAGAATCCATGTCACATGAGGAAATATTGGAGGAACAAGCCAGGATAAAGGCTTCCTTAGGTAAGGCTAAAATTAGGTTCAGCATAAAACTTGTTACAGTTACACTGGTCAACAGAGGTGAGCCTGGAAAAAGATGCTGCATAGGGGAGGGGTGTGTGTAGCAGACAGAACCTGAAAGGGTGCTTAGAGATATATGTCACCATGGTGACACAGTAAGAGTCTTCCATCTGTGCAAATAGTTTAATAGCATTTTTCAAGTCTAGGCTAAAGACAAACCTTTTTAAGCTTGCTTAATTAGTTATTTCTATATTTGTGCTGTAATTAGGATGTTGGTTAATTTTTAAAGTTATGTAAAGTGCTTAGAAATGTTTTTATGAACACTATATAAATACCACTATCATTATCATCATTATCATTATCACATCTTCAGGCCCTAATTCTTCAAAAGATGGCTAACACTACCTGCTGGATAAATCAATGGCTTCTGCATACACGTACATCACTTAAATTATGGCTACTAAATGAAATTTAGGCTAAGTTAAACTACACTGTGGAGACATTTCTGGCCAGTACTTTCTTGTTGGAGTTATTCTGGGGTGCCCTTATCCCATTGCAGGGGCTCATGGTTTTTTAACAGCCATTCTCTTGAGGTCAGGCCATTACATTGGGGTGTGATTGTTTTTCCTAGCTTGTGCTTAGCTTGCAAAGTGTTTTTTTTCCTGCTCTCTACCCTTCGAAATTCCCCCCACCCCACCCCCACCTCTGGTAAGTATATAGTAAGTATGCTAGCTTCCACTGATTAGCAGTGTTACAGTGTCTGTGTGGATGCTACCATCAGCCTCCCAGGCACCTCCCACACCTCTCATCTCTGTACATTCTGCACTTACCATTGATACATGTACAGTTGACTGCCGATAACTCAAACCCTTGCTAACTTGAACCTCACGCTAACTCGAACCAAAGTCGATTTCCCCTGGATTTCTTTCATACATTTACTGTAATTTTACCCTCGGTAACTCAAACCTCCCGCGAACTCGAAGTAATTTTTGTTTCCCTTCAGATTATTTGTATCGAGATAACTCGAACCATGTTTTTAGAGTGTGACAAGTTGGAAAAAAAAACAGTGTACCAACGTACTGAGTCCGAAGCACTGAATTTATCTCAAAACAACCGTGTCATTTCTTTGTCGTTACTTTTCTTTTCACTCCAGTTCAAATTCAGTGTCCATCCTTGTGAAGTGTGCGTGATACTTGCATTCCCCCCTCGTTTTTTCGCTTACTTCCGGTTATTTGCTTGGAACTCCAGATAACTCGAACTTATTCCGATTTCGCTAGAAGGTTCAAGTTATGGGGAGTCAACTGTATTAAATGTGGCCGGTGATACTGTTAGCAGATGGTTCATGATGTCTAATTACATGTACATGTATGGCTGCCGTTCTTTTGAAACATTCAGATGTCTTTTACATATTATGAAACCACACATTTCTTAGTGTGACTTTCTTTTTGTCAGATCCAAGTCTTGTTGCATTTTTAACATTGAGACAGAGGAAAAACGAAGATGAAAGAACACATACAGATACAAGCATGGAGAGGAGCAATGGAGGTGAATTCCATGGACATATTACAAGCTGTGCAATGGATATAGAATCTAACCATGATGGGAAACATGTGCATTTCAGTGAAAATGTTGAAATAATAAAACCAGATAATGAAGAAGAAACAATATCAGATCATTCAACAGCAGATGGTTGCATAACAATTGGTGATATGGAGGTCTCCAGTAAGTGGCTTCACATGGGTACTGTGGAAACCGAGAAGCTAGAATGGATGAAAGACTGTCAGACACCCAGTGCTGTGGAAAGTAAGGTATATACTTTTATCTTTCTCTGTAGTTAGCTATAAGTCTCCTTTGCAGGCATTCTGTAATTGTGTCATCACACAGTGCTCCTGCTTTTTTTTTTTGTGGGGAGGAGCAATCATGACCTTAAGAGTCCATAAACTTCACTTGGAAGGAGAAGGAATGAACAGTTTAGATTATATGACCCTGCCTCCGAAACAGCTTTGATTTTAATTCTTTGGACATCATATGAAGCCCATCAAAGAGCACGAGCTTTGCCAAGAGGCAATGTTGTAGATAAAATCCATTCTTAAGTTAAACCAGACTTTCCTCATTTGTCTCCTTTATTGGCAGGAAACAAACAAAATTCTGAATCAAACTAGGGGTGATCAAGATCAGGATCAGTGATCAGAGATCACTGATGCATAGTACATCGTACGTCAAATGAACTAATCAGTCCTTTCTCAGGGTGGATTTGTTGGTTCCTTTGATGTACTATGAGTGCATGATCTCGGATCACTGATCCCAATGTAACTCGCCCCAGCCTGAATGCTTTTTGCCTGATAAGGAATTTTACCTACACATCTGATCTGAAGTTCTGATTGTTAGCTTGTAATGAAAGATATTTTATCTGTAAATGTATCCCTACAGGAAGGAAGGCAAGCTCGCTTTGACTTTAATGGCAATCTAGTCGACCAAAGTGATGACATTCCAGAGTATCTGGGTCTCCATCACCACGGCGATGACCCAAGCTCTGCAGGTTACACTCTTGAGGAGTTGACTGTTTTGGCAAGAAGCAGTTTTTTACAGCAGCGGGTGTTGGCCCTACAAGTTCTGGCTAGGATCATAAGACAGGTATTAGTGTCTCTCAAGGTTTTTTTCAACTAGCTTGATTAAACAGCCACTGGTTTCCCTCGGATCAATATGAGGTGTAACAAGTGAGTGCAGAAATTCCAGTTCTGAATGGTTTAAGCAGATTTGCCTCTAAGCACAACCAATCAGAAGCACGACTGAGATCTGGGTAGCAACATGTCATCAGTATGGAATTTCTGCACTTGTTCCATAGAGGTCATTTTGCAGGGAAACAAACCACTAGTGGCATCATAAAATGTGAGCAGTTTTCTCAGGCTAATTTCAACTAGTATCACGGATGCTACAAGTTTTTTTCAGGTTGTTTGACAAATTGTATGTCTCCCTATTTTCAACCTTGCCAGGTCTTCGTGGAAAAATGTGCATCATTTCCAAGGCTGTAACCCTTACCAGTCGACCTTCAGTTTGTAAATGAGTGAACTTCTCATGTGGCATATGCTTTCATTAACTGCAAAGCTTACCTGTATTGTGTCTTCCTTTCTGAATTCTTTTCCAGGCTCAGCTGGGTGTATTTCAAGAGCATCTTGATGACAATATAGTGTCCGTTCTTCTTGATGCAGGAGTTCTGTTTCTTCTCAGATGGGCATTAGATGACTCCTCCGATGCTGTCATAGCAGCTGCCATCCAGTGTTTTGCTGCTATTCTCATTGTGCCAAGTGACAAGGTATGCATGATTATTAACCCTGTCACTCCCAGACAAATAAATTTCCAACTTTCATTTTCTTTAAAACGCTGAAATCTAAATCTGGTCTCCCAAGTGGCTTCTAAACCAGAATTTTTTCTCGCGAAGGAGAAAATGTCCATCGCATTGGCGACCATTATTAGTCACAATTTTGAGCCCTGCATACAGATCATGAGAAGTAAGAGAACGTTCACTGGATATACAGGTGGATAGTTTTGGTTCCCATATCAGGTACTGTTGAAGAAAAAGTTAAAACAGCAGTTATGACCCACACCAGTGGCAGATCCAGACCTTCAGGTAAGTGGGGGGCCCGGTCATCCGGTCATCCCTAAGATAAGGAGGGAGGGGGGGCGGCGTTAAAAAAATTTTTTGGTCTAAAAATAGGGGAGCCGGCCCCCCTTGGGCCCCTCCCCTGGATCTGCCACTGCACACAAACAACTTTGTAGTAATCAAGAGCTCAGCATGATTTTACTCCTGTAAAGTATAGAACAAGGGCATTTTCCCAGCACCTCGATACTTCATTAATAGTAGAGGGTCAGGGTGCAAAGGAAATAATTTTTACAGCTTGCCATTTGGGCAAGCTGAAGCTAGCATTTACTAGCCAAAGTGTCATTTCAACTAGCCCCAAAAGCTTTTTTGACGAGTGGAATTAATTTCACAGTTCTTCCTTTATTCGAATTGCTCAAAAAACATCACTTGCCTGTTGGGCAAGTTAAGAACATAATTCACTAGCCCGATAGCAAAATCCACTAGCCCAGGCTATCGGGTACTACTTTCTTTTCAAGCTGAGGATTCCTTCTTAGAGTAATCCCTAAATACTTACAGACCTTTCATTGTAGGAATTAGCTGATAAGTTGTTCAGCTTTCCACGTGGACATGAACTTCCATCATTGAGCCCTGTTAATGAGAAAGAACAAAAAAGGTCTAATGAAGAGGAAGAAGGAGAAAAGGGATTGACAGATGCTGAGCTACTCAAGCAAGATGTTGTTAAAGTACGTAGCAATGCAGGCTGAGCTAAAACTGGGCTAAAACTGCATGGGATGAACTCAATAGTAATACCACTGCATACATATTGTGTGTAAGGCTTTTTGTAGGCTGAATGATGACAATTTAGAGACTTTTTGGGGTTAAAAAAATCAATATTCTGCAGAATGGATGGATAATTAAGAAAATCAGTCTATCCTTGTTGTAAGAGCCTGTAATGTTTACAGGTGGTGTAAAAGAAAGAAAACAATGCAGTCAACACAATAAAGCCTTGGAAAATAAAAGGGAACAACAGTTAGCCTGAGAAAACCAATGCTTCCACTTGTTTCGCAGCATAATGGTGTCTGAGGAACAAGGATAGATATTCCATACTGATGAAGTGTCCCTACTCAGGTCGGGAAGCGCTACTGATCAGATATGAAGTAAATTAGATGATCAAAAGTAAATTTTCAACCAGAAGAGAATGATCACCTAAGGCAAAATAATAATTTCATCTTTTATTAAATTCTGTCAAATAATTCTTTGAGAAAATTATAGAGATCAGTCTGAAAAATTACCTGAGAGGCATGTTACATATTCTAGACTTTTGTGATATTGTGATGTTGTTGAATATTCCCAGGGACTGATTCAGATGAGTATATTGCCGAGACTAAGATACGTACTTGAAGTTTGTTGTCCAGCAGCCCCTGCAGTTCAGGACATTCTGGATATTCTCACGAGAATTTGTCAACATTCTACACAAGTCGCAAGTGAAGTCATTAAATGTCCAAGACTTGTGGAAGCCATCTTTGTTAACTTTCTTCTGCTGGATAAATCAATGGCTTCTGCATACACGTACATCACTTAAATTATGGCTACTAAATGAAATTTAGGCTAAGTTAAACTACACTGTGGAGACATTTCTGGCCAGTACTTTCTTGTTGGAGTTATTCTGGGGTGCCCTTATCCCATTGCAGGGGCTCATGGTTTTTTAACAGCCATTCTCTTGAGGTCAGGCCATTACATTGGGGTGTGATTGTTTTTCCTAGCTTGTGCTTAGCTTGCAAAGTGTTTTTTTTCCTGCTCTCTACCCTTCGAAATTCCCCCCACCCCACCCCCACCTCTGGTAAGTATATAGTAAGTATGCTAGCTTCCACTGATTAGCAGTGTTACAGTGTCTGTGTGGATGCTACCATCAGCCTCCCAGGCACCTCCCACACCTCTCATCTCTGTACATTCTGCACTTACCATTGATACATGTACAGTTGACTGCCGATAACTCAAACCCTTGCTAACTTGAACCTCACGCTAACTCGAACCAAAGTCGATTTCCCCTGGATTTCTTTCATACATTTACTGTAATTTTACCCTCGGTAACTCAAACCTCCCGCGAACTCGAAGTAATTTTTGTTTCCCTTCAGATTATTTGTATCGAGATAACTCGAACCATGTTTTTAGAGTGTGACAAGTTGGAAAAAAAAACAGTGTACCAACGTACTGAGTCCGAAGCACTGAATTTATCTCAAAACAACCGTGTCATTTCTTTGTCGTTACTTTTCTTTTCACTCCAGTTCAAATTCAGTGTCCATCCTTGTGAAGTGTGCGTGATACTTGCATTCCCCCCTCGTTTTTTCGCTTACTTCCGGTTATTTGCTTGGAACTCCAGATAACTCGAACTTATTCCGATTTCGCTAGAAGGTTCAAGTTATGGGGAGTCAACTGTATTAAATGTGGCCGGTGATACTGTAAGCAGATGGTTCATGATGTCTAATTACATGTACATGTATGGCTGCCGTTCTTTTGAAACATTCAGATGTCTTTTACATATTATGAAACCACACATTTCTTAGTGTGACTTTCTTTTTGTCAGATCCAAGTCTTGTTGCATTTTTAACATTGAGACAGAGGAAAAACGAAGATGAAAGAACACATACAGATACAAGCATGGAGAGGAGCAATGGAGGTGAATTCCATGGACATATTACAAGCTGTGCAATGGATATAGAATCTAACCATGATGGGAAACATGTGCATTTCAGTGAAAATGTTGAAATAATAAAACCAGATAATGAAGAAGAAACAATATCAGATCATTCAACAGCAGATGGTTGCATAACAATTGGTGATATGGAGGTCTCCAGTAAGTGGCTTCACATGGGTACTGTGGAAACCGAGAAGCTAGAATGGATGAAAGACTGTCAGACACCCAGTGCTGTGGAAAGTAAGGTATATACTTTTATCTTTCTCTGTAGTTAGCTATAAGTCTCCTTTGCAGGCATTCTGTAATTGTGTCATCACACAGTGCTCCTGCTTTTTTTTTTTGTGGGGAGGAGCAATCATGACCTTAAGAGTCCATAAACTTCACTTGGAAGGAGAAGGAATGAACAGTTTAGATTATATGACCCTGCCTCCGAAACAGCTTTGATTTTAATTCTTTGGACATCATATGAAGCCCATCAAAGAGCACGAGCTTTGCCAAGAGGCAATGTTGTAGATAAAATCCATTCTTAAGTTAAACCAGACTTTCCTCATTTGTCTCCTTTATTGGCAGGAAACAAACAAAATTCTGAATCAAACTAGGGGTGATCAAGATCAGGATCAGTGATCAGAGATCACTGATGCATAGTACATCGTACGTCAAATGAACTAATCAGTCCTTTCTCAGGGTGGATTTGTTGGTTCCTTTGATGTACTATGAGTGCATGATCTCGGATCACTGATCCCAATGTAACTCGCCCCAGCCTGAATGCTTTTTGCCTGATAAGGAATTTTACCTACACATCTGATCTGAAGTTCTGATTGTTAGCTTGTAATGAAAGATATTTTATCTGTAAATGTATCCCTACAGGAAGGAAGGCAAGCTCGCTTTGACTTTAATGGCAATCTAGTCGACCAAAGTGATGACATTCCAGAGTATCTGGGTCTCCATCACCACGGCGATGACCCAAGCTCTGCAGGTTACACTCTTGAGGAGTTGACTGTTTTGGCAAGAAGCAGTTTTTTACAGCAGCGGGTGTTGGCCCTACAAGTTCTGGCTAGGATCATAAGACAGGTATTAGTGTCTCTCAAGGTTTTTTTCAACTAGCTTGATTAAACAGCCACTGGTTTCCCTCGGATCAATATGAGGTGTAACAAGTGAGTGCAGAAATTCCAGTTCTGAATGGTTTAAGCAGATTTGCCTCTAAGCACAACCAATCAGAAGCACGACTGAGATCTGGGTAGCAACATGTCATCAGTATGGAATTTCTGCACTTGTTCCATAGAGGTCATTTTGCAGGGAAACAAACCACTAGTGGCATCATAAAATGTGAGCAGTTTTCTCAGGCTAATTTCAACTAGTATCACGGATGCTACAAGTTTTTTTCAGGTTGTTTGACAAATTGTATGTCTCCCTATTTTCAACCTTGCCAGGTCTTCGTGGAAAAATGTGCATCATTTCCAAGGCTGTAACCCTTACCAGTCGACCTTCAGTTTGTAAATGAGTGAACTTCTCATGTGGCATATGCTTTCATTAACTGCAAAGCTTACCTGTATTGTGTCTTCCTTTCTGAATTCTTTTCCAGGCTCAGCTGGGTGTATTTCAAGAGCATCTTGATGACAATATAGTGTCCGTTCTTCTTGATGCAGGAGTTCTGTTTCTTCTCAGATGGGCATTAGATGACTCCTCCGATGCTGTCATAGCAGCTGCCATCCAGTGTTTTGCTGCTATTCTCATTGTGCCAAGTGACAAGGTATGCATGATTATTAACCCTGTCACTCCCAGACAAATAAATTTCCAACTTTCATTTTCTTTAAAACGCTGAAATCTAAATCTGGTCTCCCAAGTGGCTTCTAAACCAGAATTTTTTCTCGCGAAGGAGAAAATGTCCATCGCATTGGCGACCATTATTAGTCACAATTTTGAGCCCTGCATACAGATCATGAGAAGTAAGAGAACGTTCACTGGATATACAGGTGGATAGTTTTGGTTCCCATATCAGGTACTGTTGAAGAAAAAGTTAAAACAGCAGTTATGACCCACACCAGTGGCAGATCCAGACCTTCAGGTAAGTGGGGGGCCCGGTCATCCGGTCATCCCTAAGATAAGGAGGGAGGGGGGGCGGCGTTAAAAAAATTTTTTGGTCTAAAAATAGGGGAGCCGGCCCCCCTTGGGCCCCTCCCCTGGATCTGCCACTGCACACAAACAACTTTGTAGTAATCAAGAGCTCAGCATGATTTTACTCCTGTAAAGTATAGAACAAGGGCATTTTCCCAGCACCTCGATACTTCATTAATAGTAGAGGGTCAGGGTGCAAAGGAAATAATTTTTACAGCTTGCCATTTGGGCAAGCTGAAGCTAGCATTTACTAGCCAAAGTGTCATTTCAACTAGCCCCAAAAGCTTTTTTGACGAGTGGAATTAATTTCACAGTTCTTCCTTTATTCGAATTGCTCAAAAAACATCACTTGCCTGTTGGGCAAGTTAAGAACATAATTCACTAGCCCGATAGCAAAATCCACTAGCCCAGGCTATCGGGTACTACTTTCTTTTCAAGCTGAGGATTCCTTCTTAGAGTAATCCCTAAATACTTACAGACCTTTCATTGTAGGAATTAGCTGATAAGTTGTTCAGCTTTCCACGTGGACATGAACTTCCATCATTGAGCCCTGTTAATGAGAAAGAACAAAAAAGGTCTAATGAAGAGGAAGAAGGAGAAAAGGGATTGACAGATGCTGAGCTACTCAAGCAAGATGTTGTTAAAGTACGTAGCAATGCAGGCTGAGCTAAAACTGGGCTAAAACTGCATGGGATGAACTCAATAGTAATACCACTGCATACATATTGTGTGTAAGGCTTTTTGTAGGCTGAATGATGACAATTTAGAGACTTTTTGGGGTTAAAAAAATCAATATTCTGCAGAATGGATGGATAATTAAGAAAATCAGTCTATCCTTGTTGTAAGAGCCTGTAATGTTTACAGGTGGTGTAAAAGAAAGAAAACAATGCAGTCAACACAATAAAGCCTTGGAAAATAAAAGGGAACAACAGTTAGCCTGAGAAAACCAATGCTTCCACTTGTTTCGCAGCATAATGGTGTCTGAGGAACAAGGATAGATATTCCATACTGATGAAGTGTCCCTACTCAGGTCGGGAAGCGCTACTGATCAGATATGAAGTAAATTAGATGATCAAAAGTAAATTTTCAACCAGAAGAGAATGATCACCTAAGGCAAAATAATAATTTCATCTTTTATTAAATTCTGTCAAATAATTCTTTGAGAAAATTATAGAGATCAGTCTGAAAAATTACCTGAGAGGCATGTTACATATTCTAGACTTTTGTGATATTGTGATGTTGTTGAATATTCCCAGGGACTGATTCAGATGAGTATATTGCCGAGACTAAGATACGTACTTGAAGTTTGTTGTCCAGCAGCCCCTGCAGTTCAGGACATTCTGGATATTCTCACGAGAATTTGTCAACATTCTACACAAGTCGCAAGTGAAGTCATTAAATGTCCAAGACTTGTGGAAGCCATCTTTGTTAACTTTCTTCCTCTCTCCTGGAAAACGTCTGAGGAAATGAATGGATCTGTGAACGGTCAGCCAGTTAGTGGAGCTATGCGATTTGTTAGGTCTATTTGTTGTGCAGGAAGGCACATGGCTGCAATGCTGGTGAGTTAAGTATCCTACTTTTATCAGGACTTAACTTGAGTGGCACTATTCATACTGAGTTTCGTGAGGTTTTGGGGGGCATATTTCTAGTTAAAAAAAAGAATGTACACTGTAATCTTAGCAACAAAATAATAGTGTGAAACATTCTGGCCACATGAACTTTCTGCTTATTTCACATCAGACAGAATTACGTCAAACATGATCCAAAATGGCAGCCCACCATCATGCTGCATGTTTATGGTCTTTGGAGGAAAATGGTGTAAGATCAGAGGGACAGTAACTAAACACACTGAGAGAAATGAAGAGATCAGATGTGGACGCTAAACCTACATGTTTGTGATGTAACCCTTGCTATTTTCATTGACAGATCTCAAAGTACAATTTACTTGACCGACTTATGCGCTACACAGCTCTAACCCCTGGTAACATGCAGGTTGAACTACAGGAGGCATATTCACTGTACATTGAAAGCCTGCAGACATGGAGAGTATGTGTTTTGTATGGCTTGGGTTGTGACTCTGTCAGGTAATCTTCAAATCGAGCAATTGCTCATTAATAAATAAATCAATAAGTAACAATTTACAGGTAGCACTTACTAAGTGGTTCTTTGTCTACCTAATACCTGGTCTAATTGAAATTTTGGACATGCTAGTTTTTGAGGAGAGGGGGAAACCAGAGTACTCCTCTCAGAGCAAGGGAGACAACTAACAACAAACTCAACCCGACACTGGGATTTAAACCTGGGCAACGTTAGTGGGAGGCAAGTGCCCTCATCACTGCGCCAACCTCGCTCACCATCAATCCTTACACATGTATGTCCTTTCAGTGGTAATTTGGCAAGAGGCCTGGCAGCCACCACGGTGGAACTGGAATGTTTGGAGAATAGCAAAATTTATATTACAAAACAAATATTGGTAAATTTGTTACTGCTGGTTTTGAAAATCATGTAAAAGAGCTGTACAGGACTAAAAAAAAAAAATAAATTTGAGACTCTTGCTAGTCTTGTGGACTAGCCTAAGAAATTTTAGTTCAGTCACATCTCTCTTTTTACCCGTCAAAATGTTACAAATAACATTGACAATAATAACTTGAGCTACTTATTCCTAACAAAAAAAAAAACCTACAATTAAAAGTGAAAATGCTTTTGTCTTGAGACCTGTATTTTTTCTGGTGTCTTCTTTGCGTGTTCCACCAAAAAGACAAGCAAAGTGAGAGTTTGTCTGGACAAAACAAATGGTCATTCTTGGCTGAACATTGTCTGTTGACCAGCCATTATTTGAACCTCAGCTCTTCAACTGCCCCACCGAAAGCATACTTCACTCAGGCATAGGATGAAATGGCAGAATTTTAAGAACTCTTGAAGCCTCGATGGTGTTACTAGCTTCCTTTTTTTTATTAATTCCAGGGAAATGTACTCGGCTTTTATAGAACATCTGCAATTAGTTCAAAGTCTGTCAATTTTAGTGACCATGCCTGAAGGAAAAGCAGAGCTTTCCTGTGTCACTGCTGTATTTGGTGTCATAGAAGCTGCCATTTATGCTGCTAGTACATCTGCTGACCACAAGGCTCAGGGAAATGCATCAACTACTGAAGAGCACCATGGGATAGATTCTCTGCCACCTTTGGCTCTTAATTGGAGTCATGTGACTGGATTCCTGCCTCTGATTGGTGCAATTATAACTAAGTGGGTTAAGGAGATTGTGGATTCAGATACAACAACTCTTCAGGTATATAAAGTACCTTATATTATTACATTAAATAATAAAACATATTAAAGGTCATGGAGAATATAGGGAATGATCACAAAGCAAAAAAGGTATTGATTGTAGAACAAATTGTCCTCAGCTCAATAGGAAATATGTAACGTACTGTACAGAGAATATGCATGCTATAAATAGACATGTAGTGTATATACCTGTATTGTGGAGGTATTAATGGTAGGCCATTCTGTGATGTTCACTAGCTTTCTTTGACAAGAAACTGTCATTAGCCTTCTTTGTCTTCACCCAGGAGCATAAGGTACAAGACGACATACTGTTGGTGATGACCCTATAATGTACTAGTATTCTATAGTATACCCTGCAAGCGGAGGTTTCTTTCCAGCATGGCTTTTAGCATTTGCAGAGTCATTTGTGTCACAATTGTCATTTACGTAGTTAGCTTGCACCCAAGAGAAATGTTCCTCATGGGGGTAACTATATTACTACGTTCTTAGTGCTACTATTACTGATATTTGCTTCATGTCTTTTTGTTTTACCAGCCTGAAAACCTGTGTCTTCTTTCTGGATCTCTTGCTATTTTAACCGCTTTCTATACTAAGCCACTTGAGCAGGTACATGTGACATATAGGGCAGACAGTGAGATTTAAATGAAGGCTGCTTCTGTAAACAACCATAGTCTTGTAATATAAGATGCGTACACTTTGCAAAACAAATTTTCGATTATTGTGATGACTGATTCATTAACAGGGTACCCACTCACCAGTGGAAACTCTCCATGAGCTAGAGCAACTGACCAGTACTGTGCTCCTTCCCATAATCAGCTCAAAATTCCTGGATAGCTGTTTCACTCAAATCAGGTAAAAATGTCCAAGACTTGTGGAAGCCATCTTTGTTAACTTTCTTCCTCTCTCCTGGAAAACGTCTGAGGAAATGAATGGATCTGTGAACGGTCAGCCAGTTAGTGGAGCTATGCGATTTGTTAGGTCTATTTGTTGTACAGGAAGGCACATGGCTGCAATGCTGGTGAGTTAAGTATCCTACTTTTATCAGGACTTAACTTGAGTAGCACTATTCATACTGAGTTTCGTGAGGTTTGGGGGGGCATATTTCTAGTTAAAAGAAACAATGTACACTGTAATCTTAGCAACAAAATAGTGTGAAACATTCTGGCCACATGAACTTTCTGCTTATTTCACATCAGACAGAATTACGTCAAACATGATCCAAAATGGCAGCCCACCATCATGGTGCATGTTTATGGTCTTTGGAGGAAAATGGTGTAAGATCAGAGGGACAGTAACTAAACACACTGAGAGAAATGAAGAGATCAGATGTGGACGTTAAACCTACATGTTTGTGATGTAACCCTTGCTATTTTCATTGACAGATCTCAAAGTACAATTTACTTGACCCACTTATGCGCTACACAGCTCTAACCCCTGGTAACATGCAGGTTGAACTACAGGAGGCATATGCACTGTACATTGAAAGCCTGCGGACATGGAGAGTATGTGTTTTGTATGGCTTGGGTTGTGACTCCGTCAGGTAATCTTCAAATCGAGCAATTGCTCATGAATAATTAAATAAATAAGTAACAATTTACAGGTAGCACTTACTTAGTGGTTCTTCGTCTACCTAATACCTGGTCTAACTGAAATTTTGGACATGCTAGTTTTTGAGGAGAGGGGGAAACCAGAGTACTGGGAGAAAAACCTCTCAGAGCAAGGGTAGACAACTAACAACAAACTCAACCCACATATGGTGTCGACACTGAGATTTAAACCCGGGCAGCGTTAGTGGGAGGCAAGTGCCCTCATCACTGCGCCAACCTCGCTCACCGTCAATCCTTATACATGTATGTCCTTTCAGTGGTAATTTGGCAAGAGGCCTGGCAGCCACCACGGTGGAACTGGAATGTTTGGAGAATAGCAAAATTTATATTACAAAACAAATATTGGTAAATTTGTTACTGCTGGTTTTGAAAATTATGTAAAAGGGCTGTACAGGACTAAAAAAAAAATAAATTTGAGACTCTTGCTAGTCTTGTGGACTAGCCTAAGAAATTTTAGTTCAGGCACATCTCTCTTTTTACCCGTCAAAATGTTACAAATAACATTGACAATAATAACTTGAGCTACCTATTCCTAACAAGAAAAAAAACCTACAATTAAAAGTGAAAATGCTTTTTGTCTTGAAACCTGTATTTTTTCTGGTGTCTTCTTTGCGTGTTCCACCAAAAAGACAAGCAAAGTGAGAGTTTGTCTGGACAAAACAAATGGTCATTCTTGGCTGAACATTGTCTGTTGACCAGCCATTATTTGGACCTCAGCTCTTCAACTGCCCCAGCGAAAGCATACTTCACTCAGGCATAGGATGAAATGGCAGAATTTTAAGAACTCTTGAAGCCTCGATGGTGTTACTAGCTTCCTTTTTTTTTATTAATTCCAGGGAAATGTACTCGGCTTTTATAGAACATCTGCAATCAGTTCAAAGTCTGTCAATTTTAGTGACCATGCCTGAAGGAAAAGCAGAGCTTTCCTGTGCCACTGCTGTATTTGGTGTCATAGAAGCTGCCATTTATGCTGCTAGTACATCTGCTGACCACAAGGCTAAGGGAAATGCATCAACTACTGAGGAGCACCATGGGATAGATTCTCTGCCACCTTTGGCCCTGAACTGGAGTCATGTGACTGGATTCCTGCCTCTGATTGGTGCAATTATGACTAAATGGGTTAAGGAGATTGTGGATTCAGATACAACAACTCTTCAGGTACATAAAGTACCGTATATTATGACATTAATTAAAAAAACATATTAAAGGTCATGGAGAATATAGGAAATGATCACAAAGCAAAAAAGGTATTGATTGTAGAACAAATTGTCCTCACCAGCTCAATTGGAAATATGTAATGTACTGTACAGAGAATACGCATGCTATAAATAGACATGTAGTGTATATACTGTATTGTGGAGGTATCAATGGTAGGCCATTCTGTGATGTTCACTAGCTTTCTATGACAAGAAACTGTCATTAGCCTTCTTTGTCTTCACCCAGGAGCATAATGTACAAGACGACATACTGTTGGTGATGACCCTGTAATGTACTAGTATTCCATAGTATACCCTGTAAGCGGAGGTTTCTTTCCAGCATGGCTTTTAGCATTTGCAGAGTCATTTGTGTCACAATTGTCATTTACGTAGTTAGCTTGCACCCAAGAGAAATGTTTCTCATGGGGATAACTATATTACTATGTTTTTAGTGCTACTATTACTGATATTTGCTTCATGTCTTTTTGTTTTACCAGCCTGAAAACCTGTGTCTTCTTTCTGGATCTCTTGCTATTTTAACCGCTTTCTATACTAAGCCACTTGAGCAGGTACATGTGACATATAGGGCAGACAGTGAGATTTAAATGAAGGCTGCTTCTGTAAACAACCATAGTCTTGTAATATAAGATGCGTACACTTTGCAAAACAAATTTTCGATTATTGTGATGACTGATTCATTAACAGGGTACCCACTCACCAGTGGAAACTCTCCATGAGCTAGAGCAACTGACCAGTACTGTGCTCCTTCCCATAATCAGCTCAAAATTCCTGGATAGCTGTTTCACTCAAATCAGGTAAAAAAATTTAAATTATAATTATTCAGATTTATTATTCAGAGATTATTTCTCAACACTTCTTTGGGACCCGAAACATGGCGGACGCCCAAGGGGGTACCTAACAACAAAATTCAGTGATGCAGCGTGATAAACTAGTGTGTGAAAGGGGTACCATTTTTCAATAAAAGGTACACTGTATACGAAAGGGGGTATATAAAAGGGTAAGGGGTTGGACTTCCACAGATTTATTTCTGTGGCAACAAAGGAAATAGGAGAGGAGACGTCTGCAGGCTAGCCTGAAATAGATGGATAGATAATTCAGAAGATGGTTTAGAGTGATGAAAGTCTTATGAGACAGGATCTTCCATCTGTCTTGATTAACAGACGGGAATGAGACAGACCTGTATAATCGGTGCAGGTGCTCCCCTAGAAAAGTCGGGAGTCCCTACAATGGCCTATATGAAGGGGCTCCACCCGAAAGGGGAACCTTTTTCAGGTTTCAGGTACACAGAAATGGTGGGGATTTCATTAGTTGCAGTTTATTAAAGGGGAGGGAATATACCACATTGGTCTGTAAAGACTTCTAAAATGGCTAACAGATAACAGAACGGAGATTCGTCTGTTGGACAATATATTATAAAAAATATTCTTAAACACTAACAATTGGTTGAAAGTTTGGAGGAGCTTTTAGGATCCATCCGGATACCTTCATCAGTGATGACGTTTGTTGTTTTTCGCAGCCTTGTTTTGATGTAGCTACAAAATTATTCCATAAATTGTGGAAAGGTTGTAGCCCTGTTCACGGTTCATTTCCAGTTGCCGAGTATGAATGTTTATGGATTCGCGTATGCATTTTATGGCTGTGAAAAAATCGTGAAAACTTTCTGATTTGGCGATTCATTCATATTTTAAAAACTCTGCATTTGTCTAAACTAGTGTGTGAAAGGGGTACCATTTGTCAATTGAAGAAACTAGTGTGTGAAAGGGGTACCATTTGTCAATTGAAGGTATGCAACAGGGGTATAGAAAAGGGCAAGGAGTGTGACCTCCGCGGATATATTTCTGTGGCGACAAAGGAAATACGAGAGGAGACGTTTGCACGCCGGCTTGAAATAGATGGTTAGATAATTCAGTAGCTGCTTTTGGGCTTGGCGAGACATTTAAGCTCATAAAAGTTAACCAACAAATTTTCTTTTGATAATTATTACTTTTCCTTCTACAGCTTGTCTCATGATATCAGAAGCTCAAAGCCATCGGAAAAGGCCATTATGAGCCTTCCTGGGTATGGCTCGTTGGAAGTGAGTTGTAAGGTTGGAAAACCATTCGTGGAGGTACACATCCATGAACTCATTGGCTTCATTTCGTCTTTGCTACAGCTGATGTACCAAGTCACTAAGCTACATAAAGGATTGGCTGAAAAGGTGCTGTTCTGTACTGTACTGTACTTTCTTCGTTTCTTTTGTATTTGCTTTGCTTCTGCTTTCTGCTTTGTTGCTGTTGTGGTTGTTGTACATGTATGTATGGAAAGCAGTGATTGTTCTTTTAGTGTACACAATAACCTAGCAAGGTAACTACTCCAACACTAAAACAAAATTCATTCATTTTTTCGTAAAAACAAACCTTGTGCTTTGCTTTTGAATTCGAAATTTTTCTTATCGTTTTGTTTTTTATTGTTACTTTTAGTTTGTTGCTGTTTTGCACAGGGAAGCCATCCTCAAGTACTTAATGCTTGTTGTAAAATCAAAGGCTTGTACATCAAGTATGAAGGTAGCGTTTTTTTTTTTCTTACTTTCTGAGATTTCTTTGTTTTCGTTTTCTTTTTCCTCTTTACTCACCCTTATGTGTATTAATTTCAGGATGAAGCGTTATGTTTCCTTTCTCGCCAAGAGCATCATTTGCACTATTTCTTGCTTAAACTAGCCAATAATGTGGTAAGAAATCCTATTTCACAGTGTTTTAGTCATCTTTCAAAATAACTTGTCCCTATTGAGCATAAAATTCTCCTTGTGTTGGTTGCTAGGCTGTCCAAAACTGTTATCCACCCTTTACGATCTTACGAGTGAAGGGGTGCATGAACATTCAAATGAAAGCCACTGCTTATTATGCTTTACAAGGTGGTTCTAACTTTTAAGACTGTGCGTGAAATCCTAACGTTTGACCATTCAGTTGAAAGCTACTGAGCAGCATTTTCCTGTGGTACTGTTTATTATTCTATAGAAAATGTTTCATATTTTTGCGTCTGTGGATAAGATGGGATGTTGTAGGCCGGAACTGCGAATACATTATTATTCTTATAGCTTATGGATCATCTTGATTTTCCCTGTTAAGACTGGGTCACTGTTAAATCGAATTGCACTATGGGAATGTTTTAAGAACGCTATCCCTTCTTTAATGAGGTTAGCATTAGGTAGCATAAATTGGCTGATTGAAGCCAGATTTTTTTTTCAGTGAAATTACATGAAGAACAACTAAGTCCACCTTTACTGTATAATATAAAATAAGTTAGTTAAACAGAACTGAAAATTGCTTTGAGCCCGAGTCATTTGCTTCACAACCTACATTCATATCCACTATACCATCGAGTACTAGCTGCCAAATCCAGTCATTTTTATGCTGTCTCCCGTTACAATATTTGAAAGCTAACCGTTTTCAGTTCAGTGCTTAACCCTAATCACTGCACATTAGTGTTTAACTCTTTAGTATGTTCTCTCCAAAACTGGCGCTCTGCAGTTTTGTTGTTGTTGTTCTTGTTTTTTTTTTTCAGCAGTTCTACAAGGTTAGTGGGGTTTTGTTACAGTCTCGTTACGTTAGCACATTGATACGTTGTGTAAACCTCATAAAGTGTCTAATCGGGCTTCACCCGATGTTATCTAATGCCTACCCTTTAATGAGGCCGATACGAAGTCGCGCAGGAAACTGAGTCAAAATTTCTCCCCCAAAATAGGTCCATAGATGTTCCATGGTACAATTCGACACAACACGAATCCAGTTTCCCGCGTAACTTAAAAGTACCCTACGTACCCGCTCATTTTGTAGGTGCATTTTTTTAACTGCCCAGAAATTTCAGCGCCAAGTTTTGCTCTTTCTTTTTTAGTTTGAAGCGACAGAATCACAAGAGTTGATTAGCACGGTACCATTGTGGCATGAAGTTGGGCTCCTGTTGTTTTCCAAGCTCCTCCATGGAGATGAATTTTATGCTTTTGACCTCCTCTCCACTGTTTTATTCAATTCGAAATTTTTTCGGTAAGTGAAGAGAACGTAAAGTCGTTAAGCTGTCAGAACTGGACGTCATTTTTGTAAGTTTGTATGCTGTTTGTATCCAAGAACTAGGCTAGGGATCTTTGGCCAGAAGCGAGAAATCAGCTAGAAACAGGAAAAGGTGTTGCGCCGTTCCCGCTATTTGAACGCCTGGAACAGGCTAAAGGGCTTGGGAATGAGCGTGCAAATCGCATGGGGAATCGTGAGATTCTGTGTAAACGTTTACAGAAACAAGGTTTTTTCAACGCGAGTGCCTCCATGACAGGACAGGTCCCTGTCTGACGAGAAAACCATTGAGATGCGTACAAGAAGAATACTTTCCACGCGAAAAGGGGATTCGGCTATGGGCGGAAGATGGAGGTCAAACAGAAACATGGTATCACGTAACCAAATTGTCCTTCACGTGCCGTTTACCTTTCTTTGCGACAATAAAAGTTACGTTTCAGTAGGCATATTCGTAAAAATAATTTTACACTTTTTTATCTGCTCTTTCTTAATTTCAAAAAAAAATAATTACTAATTATTTTATGTCAACCTTAACGTGATCACAGCGTTAATTCGCAAAACAAGTGCGAGCGTAATTCATTTCTTATGAGCCGAGAAAACGCGTTTTTTGAATCAAGAGGAAATGCAAAGTCAATTCAGTCACAGCTTGCTGTTATGCTCTGTTGAAAACTACTCTATTCAGTTGACTTTGTGCTTATTCTTGTTTCTAGTGTTCCAACAAATGAACCGTCATCGTTACACGTTATCAAAGACTTATCGGAGATGTCTCTCGCCAGTCCTCCCCAGTCAACTACATACGACGCTTCCACTGCTAGCCGAGGGGAGCTTGTTGCTGAGGCTTATAATAACTTGCCTTACATTCGGTCTGTTTTTGTGGATTCCTTTCAGGGCAAGAAGCGCGCGTTGGATTTTTCCAGGTAAAAACTGCGTTAAGTTGATCTTTGTCGCAGTGAACACTACAACCTCCTTCCCTGGTTTTTCTCCTACTGCGCGGGGTCGAGCAGGAAAGAACCCTGGGAACGAGTTTGTGAACATCAGGCTATCAGCTCTGCTTTCGTTCTGTTCCTAGAAAATATGAAGAAGCGGGAATCTTTTCATAGAGAAAAGTTGTTGTTTATGTCTGATTAATGTGTCCTCTGCTTGAGACCAACTTCGTGTGCTTTGACCTTCAGCGAATGTTATCCGCTTGGTTTGATATCATGGCTATTGGGCAGATTTGAATTTTTTTGTTGTTGTTGTTTTGTTTTTGTTTTTTTTGCGACTTCGCTTAGATGTCTTTTTGTGTTCAATCCCGTGTCATTCACACCTCGTAAAGTGGTTTTTGCAGTTTGCAGTTACTATCAAAGTGTTTACATACCATGTAACGGTTCATTTGACGTCCCGCGCTTCTCCCGCCCCGTCGCCAGAGCGCCCCAGAGAGCTTGCTTACAGGCTACTATACAGCTTATTATAAGTGTTAGGGAGACCAATTGCGTTATCCACTGAATAGAAATTTTATGTCCTCCACTCTATTAAAGTGGCAAGAAGTCCTCTCGGTGGGGAAAGCAACTACGGGGACACGATAACACATCTGAGATTCTAATTCGCCACTTAAGAAACGACAAGAAAACTGGAGCCGAAATGCGTCGAGCAATCTTTTCTTGGATCTTTTCTACTGGGGATGCGCCGGTCAGTTATTGGCCTATTTTTTTTCGCTCTCCCTACTAACAATCGCCGAAAACTTCGGGAAAGTTACTTCTGTGTTGTATTAAGCAAGCTGCGGCCTTGAGAGGTTGAGTTTAACACTACTTTATTGTGAGCGACAATATGGCCGAATGAAAGAAAAACAGGTATTCGCAAATCATCATCATGATAACAATAGCACCGGAAACATAAACACCGGAAGTGACTGGCTATAGCTAGAATCATTACAGTTTCGTTCTCGTTTTTTAAATGGCGAATTGGCGAAACCTGTTCTGTAAGAACTTTCTTGTAATAATATTTGAACATTTTTCAGGTCGCTGTCCCTTCACCAGGTGCGCAAAACACAGTCGTTTCTCGTGTCTCCCTGCACGGGCCCCATACAACCGGCTGACTGGATGTTTCTCCCAATTGTGAAATTACACAACCAAGCGATAAGTGTGTAAGTAAAATCCCTTCGTTCAGTGTACCACATTTGACTGGTAAGGTCTGGTTAGCCTTCGAGAAACCTCTCCATTTGGGGTATAACGTTGAAAGTCTCGCACGAGCGGCACGTCGCTCGCGCCTTTTCGCGCGGTCTGCTTCGCCCGCGCCACTCGAAATCGAAAGGCTGCTCGCAGGCTAAGGTCTGGCTTCACGGCGAGAGACATTTCGTAGTGAGACGCGGCTGTATTCAATGGTTTTGCAAGGTCTCGCAACCGTCTCCTGTGAGACAGAAAAAAAGGTCTTTTCTCGAGTGTTCTTAGCCCCATTGGCTGTATATAGGAATAAGGTTATGAAGAATTTACTTCAAAAAATCGCGTATCTCTAGGTTTCGCTGTAATGTCTGAAGTTCTGGCTCAGGTGCAATTTTTTAGGTGCACCATTTCGTTGGTTCCATGGAATCGTAATACGACTAACCAAACGAAGTAGGTGTGAATTAAACAAGAAACTCTTTACCGATGAGTGAGACCTCCACAAAAGGCCTCTGTGTTCAACATGATAATACGGCCATTTATACAAGCAAAAACAATACGCAAAACAGTGCCGTATAAACGGCACATTTCGTCTGAAATAAGTCGCGACTTAGTAAAGACGCTTCTTATTTTTCCCCGTATAAATGGCCGTTATGTTCGTCTAAAATATTCCCACGATCTGATAAAATCCCGACTGCTACCGGACTTGATAGATCAATTTAGGTTTCTGGGAAACTGTCCACCTACCCCTCCCCAAAGCCATCATTTTGCCCTAAGTGAGAAGTAAGTGTTAATGTTAGCTTAGGGGAGGGGTAGGTGGGCAGTTTCCAAGAAACGTAAATTGATCCCACTTGATAACCGGGCAAATAAAATATTATGTACATCCAAAGATCTGCGCAGTACGTGCACTTAAAGATCATCAGGTAAGGTATGGCCAACAACCCTCTAATTTGTGGGAATAAGATGGTGACCTGGACCGACAAATGTCCTTTTCAAAAAAGAAAAGTTATTTGTAGCACTGATCTGTATGTATGTGGTTTGAAGTTAAATTAGGCGGCCAAATACATTGGAAACTTCAAATCTGTTTCTCAATTTCTGACTTTAAAAGCATTCTTACTTATCATTAATCAATATATCTTTTTGTTGTGTTTCTGTGGTAAGTGAGATGAAAGGCAAGGAAATTGATACTGTTGCTAGTCAAGCCGTTTCTATAGTAACAGCAACCCTTCAGTTGGTCCTTCTGTTGGAGGATTGGCGGCCTTCATGCTTACGTCACGTTTCCATGACATCGCGAATTGCCAGAATTATGTGTGTCTTCTTAACAGGTAAGAAGAAAAGCTGATTGTAGCATGCGAACGCAGACGTATTTCCGGTCGTGTTTTTTTTTTTTTCGCGTTCTCGTGTGCTGCACAATATGAACCTTTTAAGAGCTCGTTTGTAGAAATTAGTCCACTCGTTATTTCATCTCAAACAAAGGCCACTTTGCCCTGCTACCCATGGGATAAAAGTTTCATCTCGTTTCCTTACAATCCAGAATGTTTTAACTCTGAAAAAAAAGAAATTAAAATCAATACAACGGTCAAACGATAAAAGGTTTGAAAGTACTTTCTGTATAATTTAACCGTGGAATTCTCTCTTTGTCAACTTTCAGGGAGTGATTTGTTTCTGAACAGCAAAGTCCATGACTATTTGTCAGTTCTTTTGCGGATTTACACAAACTCTGCAAAACTAGCGAAGCTCGATTTCAATTCCCCAATCCCTGGACTCACGTCGTTCTATGATCTGTAAGTAACACGCTTTTATTTCGCTCGATATCATATATCTTTTATTTTTATTAATATTTTTATTGATAAATCTGGCACTTAATTTGAGTTTCTGGATGGAGTATTAGCCTTACGCCGGCGGCGTTCAGTCGGCTATCATTCAGCATTACTTGAACTTCTTGTTGCGGAAGTTCTTTATTTCCGAAGACTCAATGCAATGCTCAAGTCTCACTGTAGAACTACTTTACTGTGTACCGTTTCAGGGTATCTTTAGCCTGTGAACAGGCTCTCTGTTATGGGATGGGGTGAAAAAATCGCGAGGAGAGGGATTTTTTCACCCTTTCGCAAACCAAACAGAGGGCCTGTTCACAGGCTAGGGTATCTGTGGATTAAATTGATACTTTTCGTTTTGTTGTGCATGGTTTTTAATATGTTGTGAAGGAAATTTTTACATGTAAGTGATATAGTTTAATACTATGTAAAACCCTATCGTATGGTTCGTTATTCTTCTTTTATCGGATGATATAATTTCGGTTTTTTTTAGGTACGCCTCAGTACTTTCACAGTATTCCGCGGTATCCTTTGGTGACCCTTTGTTTGGCTGCTTTGTCGTCCTTCCGTTAACACAAAGACACGACATTAAGTTTCGTAGAGCTGTGTGGGATGAACACATAGGTGTATTAAGGGCCTTAGCAATTCCCTTAGATCAGGTAACGTGTAACTGGTGTCTAGTACTCTTACACCGCCATTTGATTTGTCACGTAACGCTTTTCGGTAGTTTTATTGAGGCAGTTCATACCGTCAGCTGTTGTGAGTTTCATAATTACACCCAACGCGCGAATCTGCATTTTGGTCGGGCCGATAGTTAGCAAGAAGAGCGAACCTGTGGAGAGAAACACAGTACCTTCAGTTCTTCAATACTCCCACATGCGTTCCAAACGAAGTAGCCCTTTCCCAAAAGGCAACGGGTTTGTGCGTTGTGAAGACACTTGTGAGCCTCGGTTGTTATAATTTTAGCCGCAGTTGTTCAAAGGGTAGATAACGCTATAGGTAGATTTCTGTCCAGCAGATGACGTAATTGTTTCCCCGTGTACCTATCCGGGATATAGTGCTGTCCAATGTCTGAACAATTGGTGCCTAAACAGCATGTTTTATAGAGATTAATCGGTAATGTCGGTTTAAAGACCAGGTCTGCCTGGACTAGGAGAATTTGCCTGTGTGCAATGAAAATTTAACAAGTTTAGTTGTCTCTAAAATGAAATGACAATTTAATGTTGACTCTTTTTTCAGCTGCCTATTCCTTTGGAGGAATTTTTGTACCCAATAGAACGGAACCAGTCCTTACTCGCGCTTTATCTTCGAGCTTTAGCCACTCAGACAGTGAGGTGAGTGTCCTTATCCCACGGTGTTTCTGCTTTATAACCGAGGCTTACACCAATGTAATGCCTGTAAAGGTTGAGGGTTAAACAATCATAACATAAACACCGGAAGTGACTGGCTATAGCTAGAATCATTACAGTTTCGTTCTCGTTTTTTAAATGGCGAATTGGCGAAACCTGTTCTGTAAGAACTTTCTTGTAATAATATTTGAACATTTTTCAGGTCGCTGTCCCTTCACCAGGTGCGCAAAACACAGTCGTTTCTCGTGTCTCCCTGCACGGGCCCCATACAACCGGCTGACTGGATGTTTCTCCCAATTGTGAAATTACACAACCAAGCGATAAGTGTGTAAGTAAAATCCCTTCGTTCAGTGTACCACATTTGACTGGTAAGGTCTGGTTAGCCTTCGAGAAACCTCTCCATTTGGGGTATAACGTTGAAAGTCTCGCACGAGCGGCACGTCGCTCGCGCCTTTTCGCGCGGTCTGCTTCGCCCGCGCCACTCGAAATCGAAAGGCTGCTCGCAGGCTAAGGTCTGGCTTCACGGCGAGAGACATTTCGTAGTGAGACGCGGCTGTATTCAATGGTTTTGCAAGGTCTCGCAACCGTCTCCTGTGAGACAGAAAAAAAGGTCTTTTCTCGAGTGTTCTTAGCCCCATTGGCTGTATATAGGAATAAGGTTATGAAGAATTTACTTCAAAAAATCGCGTATCTCTAGGTTTCGCTGTAATGTCTGAAGTTCTGGCTCAGGTGCAATTTTTTAGGTGCACCATTTCGTTGGTTCCATGGAATCGTAATACGACTAACCAAACGAAGTAGGTGTGAATTAAACAAGAAACTCTTTACCGATGAGTGAGACCTCCACAAAAGGCCTCTGTGTTCAACATGATAATACGGCCATTTATACAAGCAAAAACAATACGCAAAACAGTGCCGTATAAACGGCACATTTCGTCTGAAATAAGTCGCGACTTAGTAAAGACGCTTCTTATTTTTCCCCGTATAAATGGCCGTTATGTTCGTCTAAAATATTCCCACGATCTGATAAAATCCCGACTGCTACCGGACTTGATAGATCAATTTAGGTTTCTGGGAAACTGTCCACCTACCCCTCCCCAAAGCCATCATTTTGCCCTAAGTGAGAAGTAAGTGTTAATGTTAGCTTAGGGGAGGGGTAGGTGGGCAGTTTCCAAGAAACGTAAATTGATCCCACTTGATAACCGGGCAAATAAAATATTATGTACATCCAAAGATCTGCGCAGTACGTGCACTTAAAGATCATCAGGTAAGGTATGGCCAACAACCCTCTAATTTGTGGGAATAAGATGGTGACCTGGACCGACAAATGTCCTTTTCAAAAAAGAAAAGTTATTTGTAGCACTGATCTGTATGTATGTGGTTTGAAGTTAAATTAGGCGGCCAAATACATTGGAAACTTCAAATCTGTTTCTCAATTTCTGACTTTAAAAGCATTCTTACTTATCATTAATCAATATATCTTTTTGTTGTGTTTCTGTGGTAAGTGAGATGAAAGGCAAGGAAATTGATACTGTTGCTAGTCAAGCCGTTTCTATAGTAACAGCAACCCTTCAGTTGGTCCTTCTGTTGGAGGATTGGCGGCCTTCATGCTTACGTCACGTTTCCATGACATCGCGAATTGCCAGAATTATGTGTGTCTTCTTAACAGGTAAGAAGAAAAGCTGATTGTAGCATGCGAACGCAGACGTATTTCCGGTCGTGTTTTTTTTTTTTTCGCGTTCTCGTGTGCTGCACAATATGAACCTTTTAAGAGCTCGTTTGTAGAAATTAGTCCACTCGTTATTTCATCTCAAACAAAGGCCACTTTGCCCTGCTACCCATGGGATAAAAGTTTCATCTCGTTTCCTTACAATCCAGAATGTTTTAACTCTGAAAAAAAAGAAATTAAAATCAATACAACGGTCAAACGATAAAAGGTTTGAAAGTACTTTCTGTATAATTTAACCGTGGAATTCTCTCTTTGTCAACTTTCAGGGAGTGATTTGTTTCTGAACAGCAAAGTCCATGACTATTTGTCAGTTCTTTTGCGGATTTACACAAACTCTGCAAAACTAGCGAAGCTCGATTTCAATTCCCCAATCCCTGGACTCACGTCGTTCTATGATCTGTAAGTAACACGCTTTTATTTCGCTCGATATCATATATCTTTTATTTTTATTAATATTTTTATTGATAAATCTGGCACTTAATTTGAGTTTCTGGATGGAGTATTAGCCTTACGCCGGCGGCGTTCAGTCGGCTATCATTCAGCATTACTTGAACTTCTTGTTGCGGAAGTTCTTTATTTCCGAAGACTCAATGCAATGCTCAAGTCTCACTGTAGAACTACTTTACTGTGTACCGTTTCAGGGTATCTTTAGCCTGTGAACAGGCTCTCTGTTATGGGATGGGGTGAAAAAATCGCGAGGAGAGGGATTTTTTCACCCTTTCGCAAACCAAACAGAGGGCCTGTTCACAGGCTAGGGTATCTGTGGATTAAATTGATACTTTTCGTTTTGTTGTGCATGGTTTTTAATATGTTGTGAAGGAAATTTTTACATGTAAGTGATATAGTTTAATACTATGTAAAACCCTATCGTATGGTTCGTTATTCTTCTTTTATCGGATGATATAATTTCGGTTTTTTTTAGGTACGCCTCAGTACTTTCACAGTATTCCGCGGTATCCTTTGGTGACCCTTTGTTTGGCTGCTTTGTCGTCCTTCCGTTAACACAAAGACACGACATTAAGTTTCGTAGAGCTGTGTGGGATGAACACATAGGTGTATTAAGGGCCTTAGCAATTCCCTTAGATCAGGTAACGTGTAACTGGTGTCTAGTACTCTTACACCGCCATTTGATTTGTCACGTAACGCTTTTCGGTAGTTTTATTGAGGCAGTTCATACCGTCAGCTGTTGTGAGTTTCATAATTACACCCAACGCGCGAATCTGCATTTTGGTCGGGCCGATAGTTAGCAAGAAGAGCGAACCTGTGGAGAGAAACACAGTACCTTCAGTTCTTCAATACTCCCACATGCGTTCCAAACGAAGTAGCCCTTTCCCAAAAGGCAACGGGTTTGTGCGTTGTGAAGACACTTGTGAGCCTCGGTTGTTATAATTTTAGCCGCAGTTGTTCAAAGGGTAGATAACGCTATAGGTAGATTTCTGTCCAGCAGATGACGTAATTGTTTCCCCGTGTACCTATCCGGGATATAGTGCTGTCCAATGTCTGAACAATTGGTGCCTAAACAGCATGTTTTATAGAGATTAATCGGTAATGTCGGTTTAAAGACCAGGTCTGCCTGGACTAGGAGAATTTGCCTGTGTGCAATGAAAATTTAACAAGTTTAGTTGTCTCTAAAATGAAATGACAATTTAATGTTGACTCTTTTTTCAGCTGCCTATTCCTTTGGAGGAATTTTTGTACCCAATAGAACGGAACCAGTCCTTACTCGCGCTTTATCTTCGAGCTTTAGCCACTCAGACAGTGAGGTGAGTGTCCTTATCCCACGGTGTTTCTGCTTTATAACCGAGGCTTACACCAATGTAATACCTGTAAAGGTTAAGGGTTAAACAATCATATTTCACGTCGATAACTCGTGACAGTTATTCAACTGATAAACTTGAGGTCGACGTTGCACTCATTATACCCCCACCCCTTCCCCCCCTCTCTCTCTCTCTTACACACACACTCGAACCTCCCGCTAACTCGAAGCAATTTTCATTTCCCTTCAGACCATTTTCTACATAATTTTACCGTCGATAACTCGAACTTTTTCTTTTTCCCTAGAAGGTTCGAATTATCGGGAGTCGACTCTAGTTAAAGCTACACAGAAAGAAAAGAAGTCGAAAAAAAGATGTGATGTCACCGGGACTGATCTAGCTCGGGACGTCGCGCACTGAAGGCCGCGCACTACTCCCAATAGAAACAAACCTAACTATACAGCGTGTCTTAGTTACAATGCAGTCATATACAATTATGATGCCACTCTCGGAAAAAAATGCAAGTTGTGAGCCTACATAAAGGGCTTAATTAAACCTGACTTACGACTTTTAAAACCTGTTTGATGTGTTTCAGGGCTCAGTGGTCTCCGCTGTTTTATCTTGTTGCTGTTCACCACGTAAATGCCTTTATTTTTCAACGAGTCAATCCTGAGGTTAGTCTGGCCTACCAATATCCCTGCCATTGGATGCCTTTTTTTAATAACCGCGATCGAATGACTTGTGTTGTATGGTCGCGATAAAATTTTAAATTTCAGTTGATTCAACCTTTATGACAGGTAGCCTACAAAGCAGGCGCCGGTTTTGTTGGGGCGAAGGGTGAAATTTCGAGGACAATCGCACACGCATGAGTGGAGAAAGAAAAGGAGGCCTCCTCTTCTCTTCACGTGATCCCCTCGCGCGCTTTGATTAAAACTAGCCTGATACGCAGGCTACGATAAAATTGAGATGGTTTATCCAATCCCGTACTTACCATAGCAGTTTAACGGAGTTACGTTGTAACTTCTGGGAAATATTTTAACTTTAAAGAGTCTGTGGGAGACATAAGTAAAATAGATCAAGGAAGCTCTCAAGACAGATTAGAAACCTTCTTTACGCTTGGCTTTGAAATAAGACTGTCAGCGCGAGCAAGCTCATGCCTCTGGCGCTAGAGAGTTGGGGGAGGGGAGTTGGCTTCTTTTCTCTTTTGCAACCTGCCCCGCAAGCCCAGAACTTGCTCTCAGAATATTAATTTTTAGGCGAAACCACCATGAACAAGTAAGAGTCTGAGGACCGTAGTTCTGCGCCAGCAACCTCGTTCCCAGGGTTCGCTCCTTATCGTGCCCGGAGTGAGAGAGAACACTGGGAACGAGGTCGGCGCGCCGAAGTTAAACCACTATTAACACTGGAGGTTTTGACTACACGGGTAAATTGCTTTGCGAGTTGCGTGGAACAGTGATCGGGTTTCTATTTGACTGGTTTCACTTCTTTGTTTTTTCTAGGATGATCGTGGGCTTAGACAGAAGATAACCCTGTTAAAGCAAGTTCTCGCTGTGCAAAATGAGGTGGGTAACATTTTTATATTTTATAAACTCGGCTTCTAGCTTGCATTGGTGTTTCCTTGTATCACTCAATAAAACAGTCAACCGACAATTTTGTCGTCAGTCAAAACCACGATAAAACAGAGGGCCAACAGACTGGCAAAATATGTTCATTTTCGCTATAACGAACGATATCTAGGTGTTTTCCATATATTTTACCATCACTGGGACAAAGAGCACAGGAAAAAATAACAGATTCCTATTTTTGGATATTTTAGGGTATTTAAAGAATACCCACAAAAAACCCAAATTTGGAAGAGTGAGACAAGTCCCAACCAGGGAACTTGGCTGGGAATTCCCTGGTTGGGACTTGTCTCACTTTGCCGAATTTGGGATTTTTATGGGTATTCTTTAAATACTCTAAAATATCAAAAAATGGGAATCTGTTATTTTTTCCTGTGAGTATCGTACGTAATACAGCGGACTTCGTTAAACAGGGCTTCGTTATGACGAGGTTCCACTATATTGAATTTCTTCAGGTTTTAAATTTACGTTACTTTTTAACTCGTCGATAAAACTATTTTTTGTGTGTGTATCACTTTCTTGCCGGCGCAACATCACACTTTACTGTAACGCTAACTCACTAATTAGTTATTCAGTAAGCAGACCACTCCATAATAATCTGCGCGATGGTGAGTAATGTCAAAATAACCCGCATTATTATCGGTAAGAAGTTTTAACAACAGTTAGTCGGAAACCCACCATTTCGTCATCTCCCATAATGCACCTCTTTTGACCTCAACCACCATCAACCCTCCCTTTAAAAAAAATTTTGCATTAGCTTTTATTTTAATTTCTCCTAGGTATACCAGTCGTCCCAAGAAAAATTGAAGACAATGCTTTTTTTTTTGGGGGGGGGGGTTGAGGGGTGGGGTGGCAAACAAGGTGTATTATGGGAGATTTGCAAATAGCAAATAGCTGAGCATAGTTCACCGACCGGCCTGTAATAATTTCACATTATCACATATTTTGTTGCTTCTAGTTATTTATTTTTGTGTTTTATTTATTTCAGAATGTCCGTCATGATGTTCTACACTACTACAAGCCTGTTCCCTCAGATTCGACGCAACTTTTCGAGAAATTTACCAGCCTTCCAGTAGATAGACAACTGCTGCTTAGAAATCGAGAAAACCTGGAAGATTGCCGTAAAATGTACCAGAAAATCGCCTCGTGTGAATAGTAAAGACGAAAATTCGGAAAATGAAATATTTTTCAGATCGGAAGCAAAGAAAAATATATAATTTATTTATGACCAATCAAGTGAAGTAAAGCTCCTTAAACATTTTGCCTATCTTGAACAATTTATTTAAGCTGGACATAGAACTTGCAAGAAATAAATTATAATAAACTGATCACATTAATTTTTAAGAAGTCAAATAAAATATAACATCTCCAAATTTGGGGAGGATAGGGGTGTGCGGCATGTTTCGCATCTTGGGGTCACGTGACCTGTCTCATGCCAAATTATGGGATGCAATCCTCTAAGTCCAGAGATTGAAAGAGCGTAAAACAAATAACGGGTGTGTCAATTTTTGAGGGAAATCTTTACTTATGAATGAAAAATATCGCTGGATCGATTTTGAAAACATTCCAACACACGAATACGTGAGTCACCCTACCCTAGTTAAGATTCCAAATGTTATTTCAGACCTGACCGTTGCAACATGCACACTATGATATTGCCTAGCCCGTAGGCCTCATTAATCCGCGCGGTTAATGCGATTTGGGTCACGTGGTCGGAGCGACGAAGTGAATGACCTGGGAAAACGCCATACAGGGACAAGGGAAATTATGATACACTTTTCCAACTGGTTTCCAGGTGTTCGATATCCGGCTGTAAACACTAGATTTTAGAGGGACTTTAACATCATAACTTCCCAAGTCCATACCCAATCCCAGATCAAACCTTACCCCATTTGAGATCACAACAGTACCCAGGTACGGTCTAAATTGGAAGGGCTAAAAACACATACATTAAAAAAAATTAGGAATTTCAATTTGCATTGAAAGTAAGTGCAGGCTGCAGAGCTGGAAGAAAATACGGAGAATACAGTTTGAAAATAGATAAAGTGAAGAGAATCAAAATGACACTTGGGAACAAGGGTGGGTAAGCCTTGTTAAAAAGAAAAATACGTTATTTCCTTGTATTGGTGGTGTGTAAAAGTGGAAAGCCCTTCGAGTAACTCCAGGGTGCAAGCAGATGATAAACGAGGCCTAGTGAGTTTTTCAAAGTAATTGCTTGTTTATATTTTTTAGTTTTCTTTCTTTGTCTATGGAGATAATTTCTTCGAGGTAATGAACGGTGAAGTGATGAACCCGAGGATGACAAGATATTTTTGTGTGTTTGGATGCTCTACTATGTAAACAATGGTTGCCGATTAGCGAATGGAGGAGCGAAGATGTCCACGCATGGAAATTAACAGGTTTAATGTGGTGCTCGAGAAATTTCAGCAGTTTTGTTTTGACTTAAAGGTTTTTAAAAAAGTAGACCCGACTGTAGCATGCGTAGCAGGCGCTTGCCAAGAACGACAGTCAGCAGATTCTGCAGATTTCACAGTTGAATAGTTAGCCAGGGGTTAGCCTGCGTGGCAGGCGCAAAGGGGGGAGGGGGACGGAGACGGGGAGAGGGAGAAAACCCTCTCTCCCCAATCCCCCTCCCTTTTTCCTTTCCTTCCTTACTCCTTTCGACGCCTGTGCGCAGTTCAAAAAAGTGCGATACACATATTGAATGATCCATATGGTTCCAAGCTTTGCTTTCACCTCAACGGACAACGGACTCATGGTCAAATTATCAGGTGAATTATTTACCTAAACGGGCAGAGATTTTGACATACGTACAACGATCAAATTTAACGCCTCAAAGGGCGAAGGACACTTTACTTTAATGGCATGTGGCACCTAAGTCTCTTTAGACGCATGGCTGGTTTGCTTCGCACCTTTCCTCCGCTCTTTTCTCCCGAGACCAGTAAGCTAGAGTGGGCATTTTTATACTCCCAACAGAAGAATTTTTGCCTGGCACATCACTTTTGCCGAATGCACAGATAAAAAAAAACTATCTTCATGAAGGAAGATTTGATCGATATCGTCGATCCTCCATTTATTCGCAAATCAGCAAATAGAGCAGCCAAACACATACAAATCTTCATCACTTAAACGCTCTGGATCGAGACCTTGATGAATACTTCCACAAGCAAATAAAGACATCTAGGAAATAAAAAAAGCAATTACTAAACGCCCACC